GGGGGGGGGGGGGGGGCGGGGGTGTCAGGAATTAGTTTATGTGTACAAGAGTTTTGCTATTTTATTTTTCTGGTGGCTCCTTCTTGTGCCCTCTAATTATTCTGTATTGCCTCCTTTGTTTGTATGGTTCCTCTATTGTGACACCATGCACCATGAAACTTTTCGCTGTCACGATTTACAATCTTCTGGCAGCCACGTTATCAAAATGTAGAACCTAAAATCCATTTCCAAAACAGTTGGCGACTGCATAGGACTCCGGAGTCCGGTGACAAGGATATATATTACAGTCAATGGAGGTTCATTAATTGTCATTTTATCCTGAATCTGGCTTTTGTTTTTTCTTTTTATTTTTTAGCTGGTCATGTGTGACGAAGCCAATTGTGGTAAGGAGAGTTTGCTCGATTACATGGTTTTAACTTTAGACACATAGTTGGACTTGGACCATGAAATTAGTTTTTGTGTGTGTGTGTGTGTTCTTTTTTTTTTTTTTTTTTTGAAAAAAGAGGAGGGGGGGGCTAGGAAACTTCTTGAATTTGCCATATTTTTGTAGGTTCTTGTTTTGCTATTCTCCTTTTCTTTCATCATTTGGGTAATATCAAGTGTACCAAAATAAGAACTGGATTTAAGGTCAAGAACATGGGTAAGGTTCCTTTCATTTGGTTGTTCTTGGTCTAATCCGGTCATATGGTAGCTTAAATAATAACCAGGCTCAAGTACCAAGATGCATATTTTTCTTATATGGGGACCGACAGGAAAAGATCATTGTTTGTTGATTTGGTTTTTATTTGAAATTATTTCTTAATTATTCTGTATTTTTTAGGAGCCTGGTTAGTAAACTTGCCTAACATCAGATGATTAAATTCTTCCACTGTATTGGGTAATGGTCCAACCTCTATGTGTCAGATTCTCTATCAATTTAGCTTTAAAAGAACCTTTCTGGGACGTTCCCTGCTGTTACTATATTCTTAGTCTGTTTTACCCCAGCTTTTTCCCCAGTTTTGAATTCACAAGATGTGTGGTTTTACAATGTTAGCTGCATTTATACAGGTGGACTTGTTAAAACATGGTATACCTGACCCATCTTCCCCAACCATTTCCCATCCACAGAGCTCTAATTTGGGCTCTGAAAAAGAAAACAAGGATAAAGTCCAAGATGTTGGGCAGGAGTATATAGCTGCTCCAGTTTTCGTGAATACAAAGTGAGTAATCTTATGTCAACAACATCATTTAAGTATTGTTGCAGCAGCTGCAGACCTTTTTTCATATGCTGTTATATGAAAATTTTCTGAGTTATATGTCTGCCCACAGACATCGTCTATATTTTATTGATTATTATGCATGAAGTTTAGAGCTGAATGACAGCAACTGATCTCTATGGTGGTCTCACTGTTTCTAGACTGCAAGACCAATATATTACTCCGCGTAATGTTATACAACTGAAGAAGGCACTTACGCAATACTTTAGCTCATCTTCATTCATAAGATCAAAATGCCAAAACACCGACAAAGAGAATCAGGTTTCTTCTGGGTCTCTTGATCAGCAGAGTGATGATACAGATTCACCGCTGCTGAATTTGTATTTAATCCCATCTAAAAATCCAGATGAATCCTCAAGGGCACAGTATGCAAGTTATATTTCCATGTTATGGAAACTAAGGGATCAGGTCTCTCTCTCTCTCTCCGAGTTACTTAAGTATAACTCTTTCCATTATTTATTTCTCTTCCTATAGTCCATTTCAATCTCAGCTAAGTACTCTTTCCATTATTTATTTCTTCCCAGTGGACCACCATTACATACAGTGATTTCACATTTCGGAAGATTCAGTATCAAGATCTTCCATTAAAGTTAATGTTCGTTCCATTCCTGATTACTACAGGTTTTATCCATGAGTAGCCCACGTTTCTCAAGGGCAGTGTCTGAACGTGAATGGCTGAAGAACTCTGCCAAGATATGGGAGCTAGTAAGGAACTCCCCAATCATTGCTGAGTATAGCAAAACACTCCAGAATTCGGGCTTGTTCAGGAGGTAGCTGTTGACTTTTGTCCTGTTTATCCCGTCCGCTGAAACATTCATATGATCAACTCAGGTCCAGAAAATGGCAATTAGCATTGCTTGATTAAGCGAGATATCATGCTCCATATTTGTTCCATTTGTGTTCCCATGTTCTCTACATGCCNAGATTATTATGCATGAAGTTTAGAGCTGAATGACAGCAACTGATCTCTATGGTGGTCTCAATGTTTCTAGACTGCAAGACCAATATATTACTCCGCGTAATGTTATACAACTGAAGAAGGCACTTACGCAATACTTTAGCTCATCTTCATTCATAAGATCAAAATGCCAAAACACCGACAAAGAGAATCAGGTTTCTTCTGGGTCTCTTGATCAGCAGAGTGATGATACAGATTCACCGCTGCTGAATTTGTATTTAATCCCATCTAAAAATCCAGATGAATCCTCAAGGGCACAGTATGCAAGTTATATTTCCATGTTATGGAAACTAAGGGATCAGGTCTCTCTCTCTCTCTCCGAGTTACTTAAGTATAACTCTTTCCATTATTTATTTCTCTTCCTATAGTCCATTTCAATCTCAGCTAAGTACTCTTTCCATTATTTATTTCTTCCCAGTGGACCACCATTACATACAGTGATTTCACATTTCGGAAGATTCAGTATCAAGATCTTCCATTAAAGTTAATGTTCGTTCCATTCCTGATTACTACAGGTTTTATCCATGAGTAGCCCACGTTTCTCAAGGGCAGTGTCTGAACGTGAATGGCTGAAGAACTCTGCCAAGATATGGGAGCTAGTAAGGAACTCCGCAATCATTGCTGAGTATAGCAAAACACTCCAGAATTCGGGCTTGTTCAGGAGGTAGCTGTTGACTTTTGTCCTGTTTATCCCTTCCGCTGAAACATTCATATGATCAACTCAGGTCCAGAAAATGGCAATTAGCATTGCTTGATTAAGCGAGATATCATGCTCCATATTTGTTCCATTTGTGTTCCCATGTTCTCTACATGCCGTTGAACCATATTTCTTTGGGTAGCACGAAGGTAGCAAAAAACCGTTTTTTGGGTACAATATCTTATGTTTTGGTCTAGTTAGAATGTGATACATGTAAAATCTTTTTATTTTATATTCTTATTTTATTATTTTCACATTACCAATCTTAGAATAAATGGCTGCAAATGATTTGTGTTTGGTACCATAGTGTTGTGGGCTTTATTTCTATTGCAACACACAGGGATGAGCAGTCATTTGCCTACCAATCATATTTGTACTGATATGCAGTGCTCGAATGTATAACTAGAAAATGCAACTGGATATTAAACTGCCCCAGGTGCCTGACCCCTTCCTATTCACCATATTTGAGAAGATTGAGCAGAGTTTTATGCAGTCATTGTGAATTCCACATTCAGAGATTAAAAACAAACGAATAATTAACATACATGAGAGGGGTAGATGTAGCAAAACTCATGATCCATTGAAAAATTACATCTAAAGTAACCAACGTTATTAAGTTCCTTGCCGATCTCAAACAAGAATTGTAGCACAAAACCATTGTGTCGAGACCCGCCATAGTTGCGCAATTGTGTCGACCATCTAAAGTTTGCTCCCCAATTATTCCATCATGACATCTACAGAAGCCTTTACAGCTGGTTTATGAGATTTTCTTTTGTTCTTCCCTATACGAAAATATACAAACTCCAATTGTCATTGTTGTAGAGCTACCAAAAAAAAAAAAAAAGGGAAGCAATAAGCTGTGAAGATAAGCTTGCCTGTCTTCTTCAATTGCTGGAGTTTAAGCTTCTTACTCTTCTTCAAGTGAAACTTCACTGGAATTTTTGCCGCACCTTCAGATGTCCCTAATTCCCATCCATAAATTTCCATTATTTTAGTAATTAGCACAATGTTTGCAGGGGGAAATTAGCATCTCTCAGACCATCCAAAATAATAATTAGGTGGAGCAGTGACAATAACCTTAAATGGGTGGCAATCAACATATTACTTGCCACCAAAATAAACTTGGATCTGCAGGGTGGAGGATTTTAATGCCCTAGACTTGAGCAATCCCACCTCTTCTCTCCCCCCCTTTTTCTTTTCCTCCTACATCTTGATCCCATCCTACTGGTTCCCCATCATACCAAGGGGAACATCAATGCAAATTTATTGAGTCCAAGCAATATAAAATGAAATAAGAAAGTGTGGTATCCCCAATTCTATTTTCTTAACAAACAAATCAACGGAACAATTAGTATTGGAGTAAGCATTTGCAAAGTGAACCTGAGAACCAAAATATACAAGCAACCAAATCAAATATGTTAAAATTAAGGAAAACTACCAAAGTAGCCACTCGTTTCCCAATGGTCCATCTAGTTTGTTTGACAGGCATGCAGAATTGTTTTCTAGCAGACATACTGTGCCTGCTTAATTTAACATGTCAAAATACAAGCCCGGGCACATCTCCATACGGTATACTTAGAAAATTTAGCGACAACCTCAGGTACAGTGTACAAAAATCAAGGAAAAGCATCACCAAACTTGAATAATTCATTTGCATCAGCTTGATATTCTACAACTTGATCACCAAAGAGGTGCCTAACTAAATTCAAAACAAAATTTGGAAGTAAAAGCCACTCTTGTGTCTAAAACATAGTAGACAATCACCAAAATCCTCATACTTAATGGCTTTTGTAGACAGACATTGGAAACTATCTTATAACTGCATATATTTCAGACAGCGAACATATTGAGTTGGGTCTAGGAGATTCTTAACATAACAGAAGCATCCCCAAGGACTTCCATGACAAACAAAACCCAGAGTGCAGATCATAAAGTGGAATTGGTATCAGTTATCAGATAATTATATTTATGGTGAACAGTTGCATCTCATACACTGTTGATGCCCAGACACTTTTGGGCAGAGGACCACCCAGGATTCAACAACTTATGACAAAGCAGTTAGGTTAGTGCTCTAGATAGACTAGATTTACGTCCAAAGTGTAATGCAAAATTAGGTATTTGACTCCTAATTTTGCTCCTTAAACTTTCTAAATCTCGAGAAGATACCAACCAACCAACCAAGCAAGCATAGAAGTTTATACCAGCGAATCATAACTCAGTCCAAGCCTTTTCATTCCAGCAAATTGTTTACGAAAGTTGACATTATCTTTCATTAATCTTCCAAAGATGAATATCATGTGTGTGTGTCTATATATATAAGAATAGAGAGAGAGAGAGAGATGAAGTACTATTAACCTTCAGCAACAGCCATCTCTACATCTTGCATGGTAACAAGACCATTCTCCAAAGCCTCCTTCTGATCCTGTTCGATTAATTGTATCACGTATAAACAAAAGATTGTCAAGAAAATCTACATAGACAAAGAGAGAGAGAGAGAGATGTGAACTGACCCTGCGCCATTTCTTGAGGAGCTTGCGCTTGCGCTTGCCGGAGATGGAGAGTGGTTGCGGCTTTTGCTTGAGCTTACCGCTCAGAGGATCACCATGTATTGCTCTTTTCCGCTCTGCTATCGCTGCTCTCCTGCACTTTTGTACCACGTTGAACTTCGTCATCCCCAATTCCTCCACACCCTCGACAACTCTACTTCCCCAAAACCCTAGCCATCTTCCGAAGCTTAATATCCTTGGTCAAATGCGTATACCGCGGTCAATCGTGCGCATCGAACCCGGTTCAATATCAAAAGGGCTGGTTTTCGGCCTTAGGCATCTCGCTATTTTTGGTGCCTAAGTTAAGCCCGGGCTGTTAAACCAACCGAGCTACTCGGACTCTGGCTAGAATTATTTTTTTAGCTCATTTTAATAAAAGTCGAGTCCGAACTACTCGATTTGATTATATAAGCTCAGTAATTTTTTTTTTTTTTTTATTTTTTGTAGAAATTCAATTTATATACCTCTTTTAGTTATATATTGCTTACCAACGACACATTTTATAAACCATTTGACTCACGTGAGTTTGAATCTAAACTTAGATTCGAGCTCAAATTAATAAAATAAACGAATTTAGATGAATCGAACTTGAATAGCTCCTTTTTTAAAGAGTCAAATTTGAATAAAATTTTAATTCGGCATCCGAGCCTGAGCAGAGTTTGAACACATTAAAACTTGCCCAAGCTCGGTTTTTGTAACACCCTAGGTTTGGCTGATTTGGTTAACCTTCATTCTCTCAAGGGTTTTTTTCCCCCCAAATTAAGAGATCAATTTTTGCTCTAAAAATTAATTTTAAATGCCTCTCTATTTGGAGTTCTATTGTCTGTCTTGACTTCTGCTCACCCTCTGTTAGTGTTTTTTGCCAATACTTTTTAATAAATAATAATCCAATTTGTATATTTTTGCGGATTCTACTAAATTAACGTTTGATGTTTATCTTGCAAAATAAGATAAAAAGCACACAAATACAAGCTGTTATTTTGAGGGATAGAGTAAACCTAAATTATTAAAAAAAAAAAAAAATCTTTTAGAATTTCATCTTTTTTATTTATAAAAGAGAATCACACTACAATAAAAAAAAAAGTGATTCTCGATTATAAATCTAATTATAGCTTTGTTAACTAATCAAATAAGATAATCTCAGGGTTTCGAATTGTGATTTCCCATTTTCAATCAAGATTACCATTGTCCGCATGAGTCCTCCATATCACCCTAGACGTTTTGTCACCATTCCCATTGCAACCTTTTGCTCCAACATCAAACCAATTCACACATAATACAGCAGTGCATATAATGAGAGGCTTAAGAAACGGTACATCCAACACAAAGTCGAGTTTCGCATGTCCAGGATGAAGAACCATGTTTGATACACACATCCCTGGGTTCAATGTTATCAGAAGTGAACAATTTCAGTACTCCACCGCTTCAGAAAGAGTAGTGGAGATATTTATTGAAGGGCGCCGGAGCCAAAACATGGAAAAAAAATTCTCCACCTTGCGTTGGAGCTTGTTCTGAACAAGGAGAAGTTAGGTCTTGGTGGGTTGCCAGGATTGATACCTGGTCCAGTCTCTCTGCCCTGGGTTGAGGCTGTGTCCCTTGGAGTGATAGATGTACTCATCCCCCTCTCCAGAAAAGTTCTCTTTGTGTTCAAGCCCATACCTTGACGGTTTCAGCATCAGCAGCTGCCACACATGCATTTCTAAATCAGCTTTCTCACATTATTATTTGGTGCAATATCAAATCCGAGTTAAGTATTACCTCATCTCCTGTGTGATCAGTTATATAGTGAAGCCAACCATGCCATTCCGGTGGGACCTGAGAAGCATTGTAGCGATCCTTTACTGCATATTCCACCCATCTGTGTCTTCCTACAAAACGGCATATCCAACAATGGTGCTAACTGCATTCTATTTAGTTTTCTATTGTTTCGATATTACTTTTTGGTTTAGATAATAAGGCTGGTAAAGCTCAGTCGGATTAAACTCATCCTGTTTTCTTTGCATACCATTTATATCAAGCAACAAGTGAATTTATTGGATTTCATAATGATTATCCTTTCACAAATTCTCCTCAATACCTATCTCAGCAGTGAAAATTAAATAACTGCCAAGTTGAAAGGAGAAAGATCACTGACCATATTGGGTGTCTCCAAGTTTCTCATAGTACTTATTTCCAATTTTATCAACACCCACAAGCCTTGCACCTATATTGTGAATCTTGGTTTGCCTGAATCAATCACAAATAAGGAACAATGTCATTTCCCAAAGACGGCTGCCTATGCTAAGTACGACAATGTTTTAACAATAAAACGAGGAAGCAAAGAAAAATAGGAATTCAATGTCCTGAATCTCCATAGTACTTAATATTTTATATATAAGAAAAGACAATCAAAGTAAATCTTAGGCCATGTTTGGTTTGTGATCCGGAAACAGTTTTTTGTTCTCAAAATTTCAAAAACACCCAAAACTTGTTTGTTTAGCATTTTTGTTCTCTAAATTTTGGGAAAAATGAGATTTGAGTTAAAGAAACAGAAAACAAGTGTAGCTTGTTTTCAGAGTTTTCTTTAAAAAATTTGGAAACAAGGAGAACAATTTTGGATATTCAGATATGGGTATATATATACGTATATAATATATATATATAGATATATATATTATGAAATTGTCAATATAAAAATAACTTTTTTATATTTTTTTATTAATGTTTGAATTACTATTCAAATATATATTTAGGCTGTCCAAACAGGTTTTACTATTTTCTGTATTGCAAAATTATTTTTGAAATCATCTAACCAAACAAGTTTTTTATCTCAAAAAATCTCAAAACCACTTTCTTAAAACTCTTCTAAAAAATTGTTTTCGAATACTATTTTTTGAAACGCAAGCCCAACAGGCCTTAATTTCTTGCCGCAGAGCACAAAAGGAAATTCAAGGCAAAATCTATGGTGCACGTATCCTAGCATGGAGGGTGGGTTTCAAAAGCCAAATCTGCTTTTAACTTCAGCATGAACCAAAAATATTTAGAGGAGAGGAGAAGACTGAAAAATATTAACTGACATGCATTCAGACCCAAGAAAAAATCTGTTAGACTAATCTTTTTGCCCTTATCACCTGAACCAAGACTACCAATTTAATGTTCACTGCTTGAGCTACACCATCAGCATTAAACTAGACCACCAAAAGCCCAAGTGAAATGATACAAAGAGTCAGCTAAAAAGGTACCCTTCCCACCTTCCCAGCCATATAGAACTCTAAGCACATATACTAACTGCCACTTCACTTTTGTTCGTCTGCATCTATTGGGTACGATGGTCTTGGATAACAACCACGAAATTTAAAAGGCATCCACAAATGCTCTACTCAATTTAGGTCCCAACTCTCCCGTCCACTCATTATATGACAACGGTATGCAACCACTGATCACAGTCAAACAAATGTGATACACTGCTATAGAAGAGATCATAGGATTTATAAAATAAAACAGGGAAATAGAAGGCCCTACATTGCTGCCGATTTATACCAGCCACAATGCCACATAGAAGTGGGTTGTCTACACTAGAAAGGCTTACTGCATTTTATGCAAGATGCATGCCACAAGAAGAAAGAACGGCTATTTTCTGCTTGTACAACCAAAGCCTTCAGGGGCCAGTTTCTTAAAAGCAGAATCCCTACAGCATTAAAACTAAAGACCTTTAGAGATCATCTTATAGATGGATAAGTCAACAAGTCTTTTTTTTCTACTATCCAATCCTCAATAGATTCACTGTCTTGTCAAACAATTCTTGTTTCAAGAAAAGAGAAGTCCACTTCATCATCCAACTAGTCCATAGATCTATTGACTCACTACGTCTATGGCAATTCCCATACTGCTAGTATTTTAGATATAGAGGAGCATGAACTAGAAATAACCCTTAGTTTCACGAATTGAATTACCCATTTTCCAAATTTCTTCACTGTTTTTCTTTTATGAAGCACTGCAATGTGAAACCTCCTTACACTGCTCAGACGCGTCAGCCCCAAGAGAATGGACACACTGAAAACTAGAAGCTGCCATGCTATATTTCATCATTTACATCCACACAGGATACCCAAATTAGTCAACCTTGGCAAACATAATATTCCACAATATAGAGGTTGAAAATTCCAAGAAAGTTTCTAACAGCAGGAGCCCATTTACTTTTGAATAGAACGACTTAGCAAGAAATAAAAGTATGGGCGCTGCATCATCTCCAAATCAGTCTCTCTGAACCAAAGGTTCTTGCCTCACTGCAATGTTTGTTGAAACTTCAAAATTCTAGAGCAATGGAAGAAAAGTTTTACGTCTGGAGTCCACGAGAAACAAAAAGAGGACAATCAATAAGGGTTTATTGTACTGTTATTTTTCTTTTCTTTTTTTTTTTGGACAGGGTAGGAGGGCAAGCAAAGGGAGCCTGACGCTGAGAAATTCTACACATGAAGTTAAGTTTACATTTTTATGCTAGTATGCTTCTTCAACGCAATTCTTTCAAATGTTTTTCGTAGGTATCACATAGTTATTTAAAACCCTACCAATTAAGAGTAATGAGATGTCACTTACAGAAGATTTCCATCAGCGAGACACTTCCTGTAAAAAGCAAATAAAAAAAAAAGAAAGAGCAAATAGTCAGCTACTTTAGTTCAAAATTAAAAATATCACTGAAAATAAACTAATGAGACATAACAAAAAAGTTGAACAAACCAGTCTCCTAGAAGCAAACAGTCCTTAAAGATAAATACATAAAACATTGAAATTGACAAGATAATAAGTTTTAAGTAAATTGTCCATAGGAAGTATAAAGAATGTACTGAATATAGAGATTCTCCATTGCAGGCCCTGTCACCTATTCGAATGTTAAAGAGCACACCGGAACTTTAAGTTTTATAAACCACTTAAAATTTAAGTTTGTATCCCAAGTGCATCCTCTAACATCCAAGGTCTCAATAGACTTTCAATTTATGGACACCAATATTTGACAGTTGGTATCCAGCATATACGACGATCTTAAACGAGCTAGAGAATATCTCAAAATCTAATTTATAGCAAGTTCCCCCCCCCCCCAAAAGCAATGCCTATACTAAAATATATTCATCTTGGATACACACAAATGATAGTGAAGCTACATTGACAAGAAACTTTATATAGATAAGCAAACATACCATCATACCAAATCATATTTCTGATAAACTTGATATAGACAAGCATACATACCATCATACCAAAGAATATTTGTGATTCAATACCACTTGCCTTGCTTGTATTTGATTTGGACAAACACGGATCTTGACGAAATTGAATCTATTATTCTCAATTATCGCTAATGAAGGAAAACTGATTGGAACTATTTTAGCTATAGTGAATACTAAATTCTAATTGATCACAAATCTAAGAATTAAAACAGGGGCAATTAACTAGGGAAACCACAATCAAACTCAACCCAAATCATCTTTCGCTCAATTTTAAACAGCTATTTTGCTGAGTTGTGGTGAGATTTTGCTTTTAAAGTGTAAATAATATTCTCATCAAAGATACACAGGGCTGAACCACTCTCCGATGTACAAAAAATAGGTCTATTAAGCACAAAAAAGATTGGGATTAGGTAAAAATTTCGTAACAGACTTAGATTCGAATTCAAATAAAGGAAAACTAACAGGTAGCCTCCTTCCCTGAGCTCTCGCACAAAGTTTCCGATGCCTTTTTCCTTGATCGCCTTCAACGCGTTCCTCACCACCGAGGCCATCTCCGTCAGTCTCTCTCTCCCTCTCTACTCCTTCTCTTGTCGTTCTTTCTGAGGGCCCCCGTTTTGTATTACGGGGCCTAAAGTGTAATGGGTTTAGGCTAGTGGGGTAGTGCTCGGAGAAGTGTCAATCTCCTGGATAGGGCTGTGAATGACTCATATTTTAATTTGAATTCGCTCAGTTACGAATTATAATTTATTTATACATGCCTCGTGCTTGAAATCACGATAAAATATAAAATTCGAATATTCAAAAAATTAATTTTATTATATTAATTTTTTTTAAAATATATTAATTATAAATTAATCAAATATTAAATAATTAAATATACAATAAAAATGAGTGATGTGATGTTTTTAGGAAATAAATATATAAATGATTAAACATATGATAGAAATAAGTGATGCGATTTGACGTTTAAGTCTAACAAATAAATGATGGGTGAGGTAAGTAATTGATGATAATTTTGAAGGGAAAAATATGATTGAAAAAAAATTCAAATACACTCTTATTTTATTATATAAATATATTCAACCCGATTATAATTGATCTAAAACATGTAAATATCATAAAAAATTTCATCCACACCTCCTCTAGTTAGACGTAAATTTAATGACACTCTCTTCTAAATCTAAAACTTCACTGCACCATCTTCTGATATATATTTTAAAATCAAATACACTCTCTTAATAGTAATTTCTAACTCTGTCATTATATATAAAGTAATGATTTAACTATATATTTTTTAAAAATATCAAAACTATCATTCGTTATGTACATAAAATAAAATATCTTCAACCCTTTCCCCATTACGTATAGGAAAAATTTCGTCAACAATTCGCTTCTGATTATAAATCTTCACTGCATATCCTTAGATATATTTTTCAAATCAATTACACCCGCTTAGAGGTAACATTTGTCCCTGCCAGTAAATAAAATAATAATTTGATTAAGTATTATGTGAAAATGCCAAAATTAAATTTTTGTTATGTAAATGAACAAAAATGCTCATAATTTTTTTCTTATTATATATGTCATAGCCAGCCAGTAAGCGTGATTTATACTATTATATTATTCTAATGATTTTTTATCATTTTAAAGCATTCNTTTTTCTTATTATATATGTCATAGCCAGCCAGTAAGCGTGATTTATACTATTATATTATTCTAATGATTTTTTATCATTTTAAAGCATTCCATTATCAAATTTGTTATAATATTAGTCATCAATTTATCACTCATTTTGTTACATAATAGAGTTTTTATAATTAAAAATAAAATTTCTATAATACATATTACAATCGATAAAGTTAGTGTCAAAATTCCATCAATTTCTAACTATTCTACTATTGTATGTCATCTACAACGTCACTTTACCGCTTTTCACACATCACCCTTTATATATAAAAATTTAAATATTATTTGACAAAATTTAATATTAATTAAATAAATTTGGTCTTAATTTGATAAGTTTAAATATTTAATTAGTGTTAATTTAATATAATTAAAATATTAATTCAGTGTTGATTTGATAAAATTTAATATTAATTAAATACATTGAAATGTTATTTTCATGAAATTGAATTTTTATTTGGTGTTAAATTAAATAACTGACACTAATTTGATAAGATTAAATGTTAAATTAATGAAATTTAATATATTAAATTTTAATTTAAATTTGAATCAGATAAAATCCGATTCTAATTCGATAAACCTACCTTTGGACTATGTTTCACAGTAATTGATTCATTTTGACCAAATAGTTAGAATCTATCTCTCAGTCAATTTTTTCCCATTTTCAACCAGCCAGCCAGCCTGAATGATACTGTTGTCATGATATTTTGACCAAAGGGCTTACTTTGGTTTGATTTATCCAAAAAAAAACCTGGGGTTATGATTGGGGCCCCTATTTTCAACCGTCGGCCTAGTCCGATGTACAGTTCAAGTAACTTGGTGGGCTTGCTAGTGGGCTCTTCAGTCGGCGGACCAAAGGGATTACAGAAATTAAGTCCACGTGGATGTAATTCATTGGGTAGAGTTTCCACTGATGACGCGAAAGACGCATACATAGTACCAGCACCCTCTCTCTTTCTCGTATTACATTAATCGATACATGTAATCGTTGAAATAATTTTGGGACTTGTAGAAATACATATTCAAAGGCATCGATCGATTCATAAAAGTTTGGGTGAGGATTATTCTTCGCTTGTTGGAAGCAATCAGGAATTTACTAACGAAACAGAGACAGATTTCAACTGGTACCTCCTCCATCAGTCTATCTCTGCAAACGCCTTCCAAACATAGGTAGGGTATCCATTATTTATGCTATTTTGATTTGAATTTCTGTTCTTTCTTTGTATGACAAGATCGAAATTTGGATTGAATTTAAATCGCTCGTCTTCCAATTTTATTTTTTTGTTCGATCTTTTTTCCGATTATACAAGTTAAATATTAGTTTGAATGTTGGAAGAATGAGGAATGTACTACACAGAACTCATGTTTGTATTTGATTACCGTAACATAATAACAGGGTTTTCTATGTAATTATTCAGTAGGGNTGTATTTGATTACCGTAACATAATAACAGGGTTTTCTATGTAATTATTCAGTAGGGTGTTTTGTTTTGATCTAGGGTACTAGGGTTTATATGTCTCTTTTGAAATATAATAGGTATTTCATGTAATTAATGGAGAGGCACCATGNTTTTGATGTAGGGTACTAGGGTTTATATGTCTCTTTTGAAATATAATAGGTATTTCATGTAATTAATGGAGAGGCACCAAGGATGGTGGTCTCTCGCTTAATAAGTAGTGTATATTCTAGAACATAAAGAGGTTTTTGATGTGAGACTAGTGAAGAAAACGGACTGATTAAGGTCGGTTTCTTGCTGAATATATACTGTATATGTTTAAGACTCTGAGTTCAGGTTACTTTCCCACAAAAGCAACTTTTTAGTTCATGGATTTAGGGAGGAGAAGGAAAACAAAATTTGATGGAAATCTTTTCTCGTGTTGGTTGCCATAAAAAGAGGGCAAAATATTTAGGGAAAGTAAGATAATATATCTCTTTTCATTCAGCATGTTATATGATTTTTCCTTTATTCATGAATTTCAATCAAGACTTTCTAATTTCATTCAACTAGGGGAGAAGCTACAAGGCATTAGTCTTTCTTTTTCTATTTCTTTCTTTCACTAATAACAGGGAAGCCAACAGAGCCTTGCAAGCTGAAGAAAGCACAATATACACCAGNGGGGAGAAGCTACAAGGCATTAGTCTTTCTTTTTCTATTTCTTTCTTTCACTAATAGCAGGGAAGCCAACAGAGCCTTGCAAGCTGAAGAAAGCACAATATACACCGGGAGTTTGATGTACTTGTCATTTACTCTTTACAGTAGCACGCGTCTTGTGTTTGGGCTAGCTGAAACACTTTTAATGGACTTGAGAATTCATTCATAAGAATTTAGATATTATCTCATGACGTCTAAACGAAATTTTACTTTGAATGATGTGGTGTAACAGTGATAGAGCAAAATGATCAAGCTGCACACTTATGCGGGGTTTAGTTTGTTTGCTACACTGGCTGTAGTTTATCATGCTTTCAATAGTAGATTACAGTTCTACCCGGCAATGGTTTACTTATCAACCTCCAAGATCAGTCTGGTGCTGCTTCTCAACATGGGTCTTGTTATCATGTGCATTTTGTGGCAGCTAACGAAAAAAGTCTTCCTTGGTTCCCTCCGAGAAGCGGAGGTTGAGAGGCTGAATGAGCAATCTTGGCGGGAAATCATGGAAATACTTTTTGCCATCACTATTTTTCGCCAGGACTTTTCAGTTACATTTCTTGCCATGGTTACTACTCTTTTATTGATTAAGGCTTTGCATTGGTTGGCTCAGAAGCGAGTTGAGTACATTGAAACTACTCCGTCTGTGCCCATGTTGTCTCACATCCGCATTGTTTCTTTTATGGGTTTCCTTCTTCTTTTGGATTCTGTATTTCTGTACAATTCAGTGAAGTATTTGGTACAAACAAGGCAGGCTTCGGTTTCTCTCTTCTTCTCATTTGAGTAAGTTGTTCGTGCTTATAATTGTATTCTCATTATTTTTCAGTTTGGCTGGAAATATGGTTTTTCATTACACTTTCACTTTGCTAGTGTCTTGTTTAGAATGTTGATGATACAATCTATGCCATAAGATGGTAAATGTTAGCAAGACACTAGCTTATAAAATGTAGATATGCATTTGAATGAAAGAAATAGTAAGGAGTGACCTCTTGGCATGAACTAGTTCATTGTGTTTCCGATATTTGGGCTTTCATGTATGAGTGGAAGCCCTAGATACACTTAGTACAAAGTGGGTGTAGAACGACATAAATTCAACTGAGAACTGACATGTGGACAATGTTGGATTATCATGGAAGGAAATATTCTATGAGTAAGACAACCTTATTTCACAAGTAAAGATAATTATAGAACTCCACAGCAGTTTTGCCCCAATTCTTTTGAGTTTGCTTCTTAAATCTTTTTTCTCCAATTGACCCTTTCTAAAGTTGTATCACAATCACTTTCAGATGGCCTGTCCTTTGTCAGTATTCAGTACACATATTTTTGGCTGGTTCTTGTCCTTCTAGCACTTTTGGGTGCATTTGTTGGTATGTCTGGCACATGGTCCAACCACCTTAAACAAATTTTGTACTAGTGCCTGTTTAACTTACCAGTTACCATGAATCCTTTCCATTATGCCATTCGTCCACTGCAAGTAAAATTATAGATGCAAATGAGTCAAATTGTCCCTTGTGTGGAACTTCTTTATAGTGCTTTTGCTGGAGTTATCTTCTTTATTTCTTGATAATCACATCTAACCCTGCTTTAGAAACTGAAACCTAATATTTATTTTCTCGACCGCATTTTCAATGGTTCAGTGGTTAAAATTCTGCATAATATCTGTGAGTATATGGTTCGACGATCACTTTGTGCATATAATGTTACAGGTTGTATCTATACCTAATCTACCCTTCCTAGACCCCATTAATGGGGTCTAAGCAGGTCGGTTAGATGCATGCAAATGTTGTTTTTTGAATAAGCATTGCAAGTTGTGCATATCCGCTACGATATGGTTTGGCAATCTCTTTGTGCATATAATGTCAAAGACTCAAAGGTTATGCCTAAACCTAGTCTACCTTTCCCAGATCCCATTAATGGGGACTAACTAGGTCGGTTAGATGCATGCAAATGTTCTTTTTTGAATAGGCATTGCAAGTTCATTCACCTGAACTTTGAAGAAGAAATCGTGCTTGATTGACGATGGTTTCAACAATCCCATGGGTTCTTGGTATTTGTGTGACCATTCGGCTTGGAATTCACAAAGAAAACAGGGATAAAAATGTTTAAAACCTAAAAAGGACCCATGCTTAGTTGTGCTCACCTGTAGACATACAGTATGCTGCATTTATATATTCAAGTAGGAAAGTTTCACGCGTGTCACTTAACAAGTTCCATTCTTATGGATATATAGTCTGGCATTCTTATGGTATTTTTAGTTCGACTCTTTGTAGTTCTAGGATGTTACTGATGGAACAATGCATAGAGGTATATTTTCTACCTCTTTTTTTAATTTGTATTTGGAATACCCTTTTTTAAATCATGAAATTTGCAGACAAAATAAAATTGGGTGTAGGTTTGTGGTCCCTGCTTCCCCCCCCCCCAAAAAAAAAAAAAAGATTGTTTAGTTGCAATTATATCTAAAAAGACTTGTTTCTCAGGTACATGATACTGGCAACAACAACAGTGTCAACATTTGTAAAATATGTTTTTTACATTAGCGACATGCTTATGGAAGGACAATGGGAAAAAAAGGCTGTGTACACCTTTTACTTGGAACTTATTCGGGATTTGCTCCATTTGTCTATGTACCTGTGCTTCTTTCTCGTGATTTTCATGTGAGTTATTAATTCAACCTTGTTTTTGTGCTTTGATATCTGCACTTATATGTAGCTGTGCTTGTGNGCTTCTTTCTCGTGATTTTCATGTGAGTTATTAATTCAACCTTGTTTTTGTGCTTGTGTGTATATGTAGATGCACCTGTTCATTTATATGTGTACTGTGGACACGTGTTGTAGAACTTCTCTCCCTTGGTTCTGAGGTGTTTTATATTGACTTCTAAGACTCTGATGAAAGCTTGTTGGATGCTTTATTTATACAACCCAAGATTGGATCCCAAATAAAAAAAAGAGGAAAAAACACAAAGGCAATTAAATTAAAAAAAATAGTCCACAAAAAGTTGACCAACTTGCAATAATGCTTAAAAAAGAGGAATATTTTGAAACTCTTTAGTTGTAGATGCCCACAATGAAACCAAGAATATAACCAGTCCCTTAAAAATTCAACTTCTTTTATCTTCAAATATCCTTGCATTCTCTCTGTCCATATCACCCAAATGAGAGCAAACAAATCACACTACCGTAGGGTCCTACCTCTTGGACTTCCTCTCAAAACCACACTAATTATTAATGTCATTAATCTTGGAACCACCCAAGAAGTGCCAACAAATTCGTGCAATTTATTTCATAGAGACAGTGTCAAGGGGCAAAACAAGAACAGATGGTTCACAATCTCACCATCACCTTACACATAATAGCATCAGTGCGGTGGAAGATACTCCAAAGGTCCCCTTCTTTGGAGCACATCATTAGCATTAATCTTATCATGTACAATTATCCATGCACAAATTTATACCTTTAAAGGTACTTTAGCCCTCTAAATCTTATTAGATGGATAGAAAAATTGAAATGAAAAATCATCAATTAAAAACTCAAAATAAGATTTGCAAGAGAAAATACTCGAAGCATAATTGATCCAAACTCTTTTAGCCAAAGAATTTGGTGACAATAAGACATCATCAAGCATGGAAAAAAGCACTATAAATTTTCAAATACTTTATATCATTGAGGTTCTTATGAAATTTAGAATCCCAAATAAAAGGAAATGAATACGAAAAAACTAAAGAAGAAATGTGCTTACCATAATGACGAGAAATAAGACAAAGGCAAGGAAAAAATATAAAAAAGAAGACTCTGCCCTCCAAGCATCATACTTTCAACCCATTTCCTACCATAACTTTTTCTTTCTGAGAAATTAGGCAGCGCTTGAGAAATGTATTTCCATGGACTCCATAAATTTTTTTTTCTACCCATCTAACTTTTTTCTAACTCTCTCAATTACAAGGTCCAAAAATGGGTTAGACATCAGATTACCACCTAAAAGGAAACCTAAATATCTCAACAGGCACTAGGCCACTATACATTCTAACTCCTGAGTTAATCTCTCAATTTTTCCTTGACTAGAATTAACCCGCCATTTGACTTCTTTCCTTGTTTATTTTAAGACTAGAAATCAACCTAAACACATCAACTATCTTCTCTAAATTCCTAAATTTTTTCTCATTCCATAACGAAAAGAAAATTGTGTCATTAGCGAATTTCAAGTGAGACACAGAGATTCTTTCCCTACCAATCACAGAACCTTCTACCAAGTTACACCTTTCCTTTCTTTCTACTAACCTACTTAATAATGGGTCACTTTGTCTAATCCCCCTGCACCCTAAACCTCTCCGGGATCTTCCATTTAACATAACAAAAAAAATTTTGACTCCAAACACACCTTAATCCATTTCCCCCACTTATCTCTAAAACCTTTAGTCTCCAAAACAAATTATTTATCNACTGCACCCTAAACCTCTCCGGGATCTTCCATTTAACATAACAAAAAAATGTTTGACTCCAAACACACCTTAATCCATTTCCCCCACTTATCTCTAAAACCTTTAGTCTCCAAAACAAATTATTTATCACTTTAATGCATGAGTCTTCTAAAGCTTGTGTAGATATAACTGATTCCAACTTGACAGGGTCCATCTGTGTTTGAATATGATCAATCGTCAGCGAGTTTGGTGTTTAGTGAGAGTATTTAGATTAAATGTCTTTGCTACCCATTTTGAGCAAGTGTGATTTTTAGAAGTCTAGCAAACAAACTATAGAGCTGATTACAACATATTCCTTGATTTGATTTCGTGTGTTGGAGATGGTGATGGATATCACTTCTCAGGACATTGTCTAGATGGTGGACAGCATGGGTTTCAGATTAAGAAGATAAATTTTCCATATCAAAAGCAATATATGTATATATCTCTTTGTGTGCTGCTTGAAGATGTCAAAGTTGCGACGTGAAAAAGGAAAACTTCCCATTTTGTTTTTATGTATTCTATCTTTCTGTTGACGGGTTAAAGCTTCACTTTCAACAGAAACTATGGTGTGCCTTTGCACTTGATTCGGGAGCTTTATGAGACGGGCCGTAACTTTAAGAGCCGTGTTGCTGATTACATGCGATATCGGAAGATCACTTCGAATATGAACGATCGCTTTCCAGATGCAACGCCTGAAGAACTCGATGCGTGAGCCATATTTTATGAATCTTTTTATGTATATTATTCTTAATTGCTTTGCTGCATTATTATTCTGAATTTTGTCTGTTACTTGGGCAGAAGTGATGCAACCTGCATTATTTGTCGTGAAGAGATGATTACAGCCAAGAAACTTATATGCGGGCATCTTTTTCATGTGCATTGTCTTCGGTCTTGGTTAGAGAGGCAACACACATGTCCTACTTGCAGAGCCTTAGTTATACCTCTTGAAAACGCGACAACTACAGCTGGATCACGTGCTGACATTCCTCAGCATGGTAATTGCATTCTGTCATATTGGGATCACATTTAGCTGTTATTCATTTGGATTGGTTGCAAACTGTGATTTTTTTGTGTGACCTTTAGGTTATATATCAAAATGAGGGTTAATTGTTTTCGTTTGTTGGTCATCATCGTCCTCCTTCAATGTACTTGTATATTTAGAGATGAGAACAAAGAAGAGAGAAACTTCATCTACTGCTTCATTACAGCAATTTAGTTCAAACTCTTCGTCTTTAACTAATAAAGATGCTTTAGATGCGGTTTGAACGATTACTAGCAGGACAATATGGTAATTAGTTGAAAAAGTTTTTCTACTGTTTCATTTACTGCTGCTTCTTGTGGACTGTAGGTGCCTTTGAAATTTTGAAAAAGATAAAAGGTGGCCTTCTACAACACCAGCGAGAAAAAGTGATACGATAGTTATTGACATTAAGCGTAGGGGTAGAAGAAAACTAAAATTAATTTTAAATGAAATAATTAAAAAAGATCTGATAACATATGGTCTTATTGAGCATAATGGCAAAACAAGATTTATGTAGCCAACCCAAAAAATATTAGGACAAGGCTTTGATGAGTTGAGTATAAAAGTGTGGTGATCATCAGTTGTGAGCGTATTAAAAGGAAGGCAATAAATCATATTTGAGTGGCAAATTATAAGTATAGTGTAATATATATATTTAAATGTATAAGTATAGTGTAATATATATATTTAAATGTATAAGTATAGTGTAATATATATAGCGTATTATAAATCATATTCTAATGCTCAGGGAATATTTTGTTCTTGTATTTTTATGTGCGTGTACTGGCATATATATTACACTATACTTATACATTTAATGTCTGTATGGATGTGACCGTTTGAACATTTGCATTTGAAGATGATTTCTTATATTTTTATACGCTTCCTTTCTGGACTGGACACTTGCACCAAGTAGATGATTGGCTTGCTAGTTTCCTGCTTCACAAATATATCAGAGCAAAATGAAGTGATTTAGGTCATTCTAAATATCTGGCTTTATTTCTTTGATATGGTTTTGCTTATTTTTTGAGATCTACAACCGAATGTCTGGCCCAAATTTGATCAAGGCTGCTAGGAGCCCAAGTGTTCCATTCAGAAAGTTGGCTTTGAATAATTAATTTGCCGCAAATCTACATATCTAACTCCATATTTTTCCGGAAAGGCATATCAAACTCCATATTTTTCTAGAAACACTGGCTAACTATTTTGATTGGCTTAGGTACGGGCACGGCAAGTGCATCTTCTCAGGGTTCGGCTGCTGATGGCATGTCAAATGGTAATATCAGCCGACATCAAGCCAGACTCCGAGCAGCTGCCGCAGCTGCCTCAGTATATGAGAAATCTTATGTTTATCCTTCCCCAAATACTGTTGTGTGGTATACCTCTTTCTGTATGTAATTTGTCACTCTTTTTTTTTATTGGCATATGTCTAGATTCTCATATTTGCGTAAAAATAATTTGAGAGGCTAGCTGGAGCAAAAGTTCAGTTTTGAAGTGCAATAAAAAATGAACTGTTTACCTCTTAAAAGCTAATTGAATGGCCAAAACTAAAATTCAGAAAGAAATTGTTATACATCTACTGTTATGAAGGTGACATTGCATGCTGATTTGCATAGTAAGATGGCTCCTGAAAGTGGCCATTGTGGAAGCTGTGTAGATTGTAAAAAGATCAGTGATAAATTGATTGGAATATCTGGCTTATCGCAACTTCTTTTGTTAGTACTTGCACTCTCTTCTTAGTCAATACTGGTATGTGGTTGTCTAAGGATTGCACTTGCANGTGGCCATCAGTTTGTGTTTCTCTCGTTAGTTTGTCCTGGTTCTGGTACATCTAAACGCAGGCNTTGATTGGAATATCTGGCTTATCGCAACTTCTTTTGTTAGTACTTGCACTCTCTTCTTAGTCAATACTGGTATGTGGTTGTCTAAGGATTGCACTTGCAAGGATAGTTTAGTTCAAAATCCTACGATCAGTTTGTGTTTCTCTCGTTAGTTTGTCCTGGTTCTGGTACATCTAAACGCAGGCCATGCTACCCAAACACTGACAGGAGCTCGATGTTTGATAGACATACATGCTGATCAGATTGCATTAAAACATGAAAGTTTTTGGAAAAGGAAAATTACTTAGGTATTATCTATGGATGTGCTAGTACACGTCTGGAAAATGCATGAACATTTGACTTTGAGGTGATGCATAGGATGCAAAAAAACAAGAGGTGGACATAAACTTTCTTCTTGCTTGCAGGTCACCTGGATATGGTTTACTTCCTCAGGCATCCAAAACTGTGACCGACTCTACCAGTACCTCTTCTGGTGGCGAGCAGGTTTCCACTGGACAGTTACAGCATCACCAATTTTCCATCCCTGGTGGACTTGGAAACATGCCTTTTGCTAAGTTTCCAGGTGCTTTCGTCCCTTTTCAGGCTCCTGGTGCTAATGTGAATTATGGAGAGGGATTGTGGAGCAATCTAAGTGCCTCAGACTCTCAGTTGGAAGCTCATAAGAAAAATCTTCAGCACCAAATTGAGGTATGGTAGCATGCATCTATGGCATCTCTCTTTGTTGACAACTTTATACTTGAATTTACATGACATGGTCATTATCGATGTTCAAGTTTTGACCTTCCATCTGGGTAGATAATTGATGTATTGTGTGTCATAATTAGTATCCAGGTATTTTGGCTCTTCCCCTGAAGTTGGTATGTAAAGACAGAGAGCATCAACTTCTTGTTTATGCTGTCTCGGTTCACCTTTTCCCCTTCAATCTTTTTTGCAGGCCTTGAAAAACCAGCTTGAACTTTTACAGAAACAATATGGCGATAAAAGCATGGACACAAGTCTAACAGCAGTGTCCGATAGGAAGGGAAAGAAAGTTTCAATGTCACCATCATCTGTCTCAGACTGCGGTCAACCTGAGAATACCGAATAGATAGATTCTTCATATGCCTTGCACAATTGTAGATGTATTACAGAGTGACTAGCAGTGTGGGATATAGGGGGAAATAATTTCACTTTGAAGTTGTATCTCTGTCTGATTTTTGCTGTACTTTTATTGTCTACAGAATACAAGGTCCATGGAAAAACATTCCATCATGAGATTTGCATGTGGGTACAGAGTAATTTTTTTTATCCTATATTCATCCCTTCTTTCTATAATTTTCTTTGTGTGTGTTTTTCTTTCTGAGGTGGAAGAAAGTTGGGAGAGTTTAACAATTCGGTTACCCTAGGCATTGCAATCTTGGGCATCAAATTTTGTTATTTTTGGATAACATGCAGTTAGTATATACTATAAATCCCAGTAACTCAAGTAAATCCAGTCGGACAAAATCAATCCATCAAACAGATGAGTTCAGTTATACATGACATGAGACATGAATCCAAGTATCCTTAATTATAAAATGAATCAAAACTTCCAAAACCCAACCTAGGTTTATTCTAATCCACTTCCACATTTCAACCAACTACAATGCAAATTTAACACATTCAATGACCCAACCAGCTCAAAAATGAATTAGGCTTGACCAGAGAAATTATAATTAACATTTCTTTCCTTCTAATGTAAAGTGGCAAGTGTTCCCATCGACCAAGGAACCTCACAGTAAACAATTCTGCAGCCCTCTATATGTATCGAGTAAGCAAGCATGGTTTGAAACCACTAGATCAAGTACGAGAATATTCAAATTATGGTGCTCCAACATAACAAACTAACAGTAACCATTGTTTCTTGTTGGCCCGAATCTGAACTGCTAAAATTCCACATCAAGCAGGAAGCTGGAGCTTCTCTTGTTTCTTCCAGCTGAAGGCAGAAGCAGACAAGTTGGTTAGTAAAGATGTAACATCTGGAAAATCAACAATGTTCCACTCTTCTTTATATGGAAGTGTGATTTTCGAAGCAGGGCAATAAAATATCCATTTGCGCAACATATAGGCCATATTAATTGATTCCGGTGAAGAAAATGTTTAGGGGAAATGAAATTGGCGACAGTGATGTCATACGGAATAGTCCCGTGTCAAGAGTAACAAGTGCATTGTCGCAGAGGTGCAAGAATATATGTTGAAAATTACCTCTTTACGTAGTAGTAGAAGAAGTCGGCATACAGAGCAGTCTGAATCAAGCCTGATACCCAAGCTGTGTTTACATTCAACAACTCGTCAAGTTGACTTGTGAGTGACAAATGATTTAGAACAATGCAATCAAAGACAGAAATAACTCACGTATCCAGCGGAATTTTTGATTTTCCGTAAAGAAACGATAGATCCAATTGATGATGTACAACGCTCGGTAAGCACTGCAGAAGAGTGAAAAAGGGGAAAACACAGATATTACAGTGCTTTCTATTGGTTGTAAGGGAACTAAAAGAAATATAAAACAAGTCCCAAAGAAAAGGTTGAGTTTAGATAAGTAAAAGAAGGAGCACATCCTTGAGATGTCAGCAAACAGAGGAAGTCAGAGAGCTAGTGTTCATGGTCTCATATCTATATCAAACAAAGATATCCTCGTTCTCTCACGAACTAAATCCGTCCACAAGAAAGGAAATTCACAAGGAGGCCTCTATTTTTTCCACTGCTTCTTCCCAAGATACAAACATGTGGGGTATCATGGCCAAAACGTAAATGTTTGAAGAGATTGCAACAGAATACTAGGTAGCCTGCATGAATAATATGCCCCAATCCAGGTGTAATTCCATGCTAGCACAAGGGCATTCCAGTTCACCATCCAGCGGACAGAGAAGTATGGAAAACTTAACAGTAGAAAGCAGAAACTACCAATGAAAATGCCAACAAAGATAATTAATTTATACATTCCCATTATATGCTTGCTTTAAAGGGAATCGAAGTACTAAAACTCCAATTCTCATTAAAACTAATTTTTAAGTGTCTAGTAGCTTTCTAAATTGGAACCTATTGCAATCACCTGCTACTCTAAGGGATCAGCATTTTCAAGTGTCTTAACTTATTCACGGAAAAGTAATATAAGTGGTTTATCAAAACTACACTTGTTCTACCACCCAGCTCATCCCAATCCTGCAATGCAACCCTTCCTTTTTAGCTTTAAATTTCTCCCTTCTAGTCTGAACTCTGAACTATAATATTCAATGGAAATTTGACACAAAAAGTGACAAAATTGCCTTATAAAGCAAGAAAACAGGTGAGGCATGAATCATCCATCCTAGACTCGATTGCTTTTCATGTATTGTTACAAACAAAGTCATTGCTGCCAACAGGGAATGTACACTTTCTTTTATTACCATTCATTTGAGTATTCGTGGTTTCCATACTGCAGCATGACTAATAAAGCTGAAAGACAAAACAACACACAGCTTATAATCATAAGCATGACATACCCAAGAAGAAATACATAGTTCCCAGTTAAGTTGTCGATATTTCTAGACCGCTGCAATAGAAGTAGTTGTGGTAAAATGGCTACTGCTTCAAGATAGATGGAAAATGCCCAGAGAACCTATAAAAAAGGTCAGGTTTCCTTAAGAATTCTACATTGAATTACATATCAGTATTTAAAGCATGAAGGACATGCAAAAGCAAATGCACAATCATAGTTCAACCCAATTGGTACAATCTAGTCAAGCAAAAAGCAAAGACAAAAAAAATTCACAAGTTAGCAGTTTCGAAAATCAGACAACGGTGCGATAAATTTTATTGTAGTAGAAGAAACGATGCTTCCCTAGATCTTCTGGAAGTAAAAATAAAATACAAGAACAAAAGGTCTTTCTGCAAGGTGCCCGTCAGAATGACTTGTATGTTTTTAAACAGGAAGTAGTCAGGAAGAACTTTTAGTAAAAGGATTGCACCCAACTGTTTTTTCCATGTTTACCAAAAGTGATCCTATCTTTGCATGCCGGACCTCGCAGAATACTTTCTTCCCGTGAATGTGGCTTCAGTGCTTTCCTAGATCTTCTGGAAAGTCTCTGATAAAACAAAATATAAGAAGGAAAGGTCTTTCTCCAAGGTGCCTGTCAGAATGACTTGTATGTTTTAAACAGGAAGTAGCCAGAAAGAACTTTTAGTCAAAGGGTTGCAGTCAACTGTTTTTCCATGTTTATAGAAAGTGATGCTTTAGAAAGAACTTTTAGTCAAAGGGTTGCAGTCAACTGTTTTTCCATGTTTATAGAAAGTGATGCTTTCTTTGCATAATACTTTCTTCCCCTGAATGTGGTTGTACAAAGTTTTGTAGCCCGAAAAAAGTTTAAAAACAATCCCAAGTTCATGACATCAAAAGAGAACTTTTATGATTATCCAGGCAGCATTGAAATTCTGATTTCAATTCTTCAAACTAGCAAAACTCTATGAAGTTGCTACTTTCTGTCTAGAAACTTCAAGATTGTCGCCATTGTAAACAGAGAAGTCCATGAATAGCACATAGAATTGTAGATAGGGAGTTTATAGACCGTAACATATTATCCCCTTGTTGGATTTGAACATTGCAATGGTTATTTAGCACTTCCTTTGTCATATCTAAGCTTTCCATAACTAAGTCATTTTTTGAAACTTCTTTCACAAACAAACAACAAATCTGATCAATCGGCAACATCTCATTACCAAACAAAAATAGTTGGATAAAGGCCAATTTTTCATTAGAGATAAGTTGACCAACTGTAAGACCTAGGACATTGCAAATAATTACAGGACTACATGATAGTCAGAATAGGATCAAGTAAAAAACAAATCCAAGTATCCAACAAAGAAGTCCTTCAATTTCCAAGCAAGGTCCACTTGGGAATACTCAAAATAAGTTTTCTTTAGGTTATATTTTTTCGGAACCATATGTTATGTTAGCTCTAAGATTTATTGGATGTAGCTGGTTATTTTGTTAGTAAATGTGCTGTTGAATCTCCACACATGGCTATTTGTAGATTATAAAAACTTTACTAGTAAAGGGTTCTATGCATCGAATATGTAGTAGTAGGCTTGTCTTATTCTTATCTTCCGAGAATTTCAGAAACTTTGGAGCTTTCTACAAAGCACGAATGCAACCTAACCTGAGGCCATGATTCCTAAGAAAACCTGTACATCTTCTAATGGTTATCTAGTTGCCTGTACTCCATAAGCCCTTTAAATCTACAATCAGATATTACTACTATTGGTTCTTTCCTTAAAATCCTAGTTAACAAGACCAACCCTATCATGCTTTGAGAATTCAATCCATAACAACCTAAAACTGTCAACAGAACAGTACCACAAGTCACGTGTATTATTCTCTTACCNTCGGCAACATCTCATTACCAAACAAAAATAGTTGGATAAAGGCCAATTTTTCATTAGAGATAAGTTGACCAACTGTAAGACCTAGGACATTGCAAATAATTACAGGACTACATGATAGTCAGAATAGGATCAAGTAAAAAACAAATCCAAGTATCCAACAAAGAAGTCCTTCAATTTCCAAGCAAGGTCCACTTGGGAATACTCAAAATAAGTTTTCTTTAGGTTATATTTTTTCGGAACCATATGTTATGTTAGCTCTAAGATTTATTGGATGTAGCTGGTTATTTTGTTAGTAAATGTGCTGTTGAATCTCCACACATGGCTATTTGTAGATTATAAAAACTTTACTAGTAAAGGGTTCTATGCATCGAATATGTAGTAGTAGGCTTGTCTTATTCTTATCTTCCGAGAATTTCAGAAACTTTGGAGCTTTCTACAAAGCACGAATGCAACCTAACCTGAGGCCATGATTCCTAAGAAAACCTGCACATCTTCTAATGGTTATTTAGTTGCCTGTACTCCATAAGCCCTTTAAATCTACAATCAGATATTACTACTATTGGTTCTTTCCTTAAAATCCTAGTTAACAAGACCAACCCTATCATGCTTTGAGAATTCAATCCATAACAACCTAAAACTGTCAACAGAACAGTACCACAAGTCACGTGTATTATTCTCTTACACCAAAAAAAAAAAATTTCACAGATATCATTCGAAGTCAATACTTTGCCTTTTCTTATTTATAACCCTGACGTTATACCCTTTTTTTATACGCATTTCAGTCAGAACCCTTAAGCTCCATTTCTTTACTAAACTTTTGATCGTAGATGAACTGAATATGATGTTCCTTAAGACAATGCTGAAGGTGTGTACATCATTTTCCAGGATACCAGTTACAGCACTTCTCCTACATCATTATGTAAAGGGAGCTTGTCTCCCACATTGAACAATTAGGACCACCCAATGTTGGTTTATATACTTTAGAGGCTACTGCACTCATTGCCAATTGATTTTTGTGTTGTATACTATAATATATTACACCAAATCCTCAATGACACTTGTGCTGGGAAACAAATGATGGATGTTTGCAGCGGGTGGCATATATCTAAAAAGCAAAAAAAACAAAAACAGATGACTATGAAACCAAATCCAATGTACATGAAATGACTAAATATTCATACCTCAACAATGTCAAAGGCATGGTGAACCAGAAGAGCCAGCACAAAACATGGAGGAAGCAACAAGTAATGTTTGAAACTATCTTGATCCTTGTTGTAAGTTTGCTTCACTACTTTATGGTACCTCATGTACCAGACAATTCTGATTGAAGTTCCAATAAAAACTAGCTTCATTACAGTATTGTAGATTGAAATGTACCTTGTAAACAAATCAAGGTACCGAGTGAGAAAAACTATAACATATAGCTCTTNTGATTGAAGTTCCAATAAAAACTAGCTTCATTACAGTATTGTAGATTGAACTGTACCTTGTAAACAAATCAAGGTACCGAGTGAGAAAAACTATAACATATAGCTCTTGAGTCTTCAGTGAAATTCCTGGTACAAGTCAGATTTAAACTTAAAGACAATAAAGAATAATAATATATTCAAGGTGTACATCGTAAAATATATCAAAAAATTAAATAAATGAAAGGTAAAGAACTAGATGCCAGGTAAAGGTAATAAGGATAAGTAGGAAGGGGGAACAATAATTTGGATTCTCCTTTGAGCTGACTTCTCTAACGTCAGGCTGTTGTAAAAGATAAAAATTACAAGAACTTCAATCTTTTAGAAAACATGAGTTTCCCTCAGGCTCATAAATCGTGTAACTTAACTTCCTCAAATGTAATACATTTAGAAGTATGGTCTAGCGGAATTCCAACAATTACCATCCAGAATACATCCTCATTCAGTTCTTAGATCCCATAGTAAGTCTTAAAATTCATTACTATATGTTGTGAAAATGGGTGTAGCAAGATCACCAGATACTCAGACCAATATACTTTCCAAAATACAAATCTGTAACTTAACTACTACTCTTTGTCCTCAGACAAGCATAAAATATTAGAAAAACTGCAATCGAACAAGCATCACATGGTAAAAAAGATTCGAAGAAGAACAGGGGTGACAACAGAAAATGCAAGATTGGAAATAGAATTCCGGAATTCGGATGAAATTCTTTTCTCATTAATATTTGTTCTTAGACTAATGGGCCGTGAAGCGAGCCACGTATAAGTATAAATGGTACATATTCATTGGTGGACCCTATACAAACCATTCACCCCTTACCAATTTGCCGTACTAACCTCCTCCTTTCTTCGAGTAACAAAAGAAAGAGGAAACATCATAGAACGTAAAAGCCAAGACCACAGACTCAGGGAGAATGTGCTATTTGAAACAATACAAAGGAAAACCACTAAACTCTTCCATAGTTTTCAATCACCTAATGTTTCAAACGTTTGAAATCAATTCAAAACAAAACTAGGAGAATCAAGCAGCAGAACAAAGGAAACAACTGACTTATGGGTAAAAGTGATTGTTGATTAATGACTACCCAAGACTTCTGAATCAGTAACCTTTCCATGCTTCTCGGAAGTACTACTATTTCTTTCTCCAATAAGAAACAAAAAATTTAATTCCATAAAATGAAAAGTATATTATATTTGTCAAGTAATGCACCCCTTAAAAAGATAGTGAGATAAAGAGAAAAAAAAACACAAAAATACAACATTAGAAGTCAAAACATCAAAGAACTAAGGGAATGATCATCTAATGGCATACCACTATCCAGTCAAGATGAATTGCAAACAAAGGCACATCCTTAAACTCCTTTCGACGCCCAAAGAAAAGCCACGAACTTTTTCTTTTGGTAAGTTAAAAAAAATAAAGCCCCGAACTTTACTCAGCCAAAATTGTTAGAAAAACTAGGAAATTAAAGATATAAAGAAATGGGTCATTGATAACGGTCCCGTTACAAATCTTCCAAACAAGTAACCTTGTCAAGCTTATCTCCTGTTTTTCGGAACTAAAAGCATTTATAATTCGGTGAGGTTGTCCCTAACCATAATTCCTAAACAAAAATGTTTTAAACTAAATCAAAAGTTGAAACATGTATTTTCCTGGAAATATGAGGATCAGATAAGAACTAAACATGGAAAATTGAATCAAACAACGTGATTTACCGCACAATAGGAACAATTTGAAGAATCAAACAACATCCCGTCACATTTAAACTTACAGATACAAAGAACTGTTAAAGCGATAGCTAAATGAATATGATGCACAAAAGATATACATACATATTGAGCTATACCTGCACAAGATTTCTTGGTTCGGATCTTGAGGAGGAGAACAATTATGCTGAGGAGGTGCGTCATGTCCCCAGCTAGTCTGAACACGTTCATGGTTGCTCTCTCTCTCTCTCGGGCTCGGGCTCCGTGTTTGTGTTATATTGCTGCTACTGCTAATGAGTGAGGGGTGTGCAGTTTAGAAAGGTGGTCGCTTCAGGTTTTTCAATAGCGCTAGGCATACGTNCTGCTACTGCTAATGAGTGAGTGGTGTGCAGTTTAGAAAGGTGGTCGCTTCAGGTTTTTCAATAGCGCTAGGCATACGTTTCGAAAATAATGTACGCGCCATTACAGCGCGTGGTACGGGACTGTCGCGTGAAGGTATTCGACGTATCGCCGACTTCGGGTTGTATTCATGTTGGGCGGATCTCTTATAGTGGGCCGGGCCTAACTTGGCTCGACCGCAGCTTAGATTTCATGGACTTCAGCTTGAGCACATTTATCATAAATCGCACTGACAACTATAAGTTATCTTTATATAAAATCAGTACCCTTGATACTTCTAAAATGACATAAGAACGCTTCCCGTACTTTTAAGAGGTTGCTAGATAAAGAAATTGATATGTCATCGAATAATATTACACTATGTGTAATCTGTACCTGAAGATAATGTGTAATGTGAATAATTTTGAGAGAGATGTTGGTAGCCGTTGAATAAGTCTATTTAAAATTGTTTGATGAACTTGTTAAAGTTTGTCCTATTTATATTATAGAATTAGCAAAAATAACACCTAAATTTCTAAAATTGTCTCCATTTCTTCTTGGTATGACGAATTTATTATTTTCATAAATTGGAATGAACAAAATGGACTTTTTCAAGACATCTACTTTTGTCATATTTTCTAAAATTGTATCTTTTTCTTCTTGGTATGACGAATTTATTATTTTTACAAAATGGAATTGAATGTCAATAGAACAAAATGTAATTTATCAAGACGTCTAGTTTTGCCATATTCTTAATGTTTGCTTTTCTTCGCCCCTTTTCTTTCTCTTTGTTGCAACATAACCCATCAACCCTTATCATCCTCCCAAAGTTGAACCCATTATCTCTCTCTTCTTCTCTCTCTATAATTTTTGTGAAGATAATCTAAAGGAAAAAAAAGTTACAACGAGAAGGGATATGGTTGATATAGGTGGAGGTGAGGGATAGAAAAATTGTTATCGTCTAGGAATAAGGGGGAAGGAGGCTACATGAAATAGGAGGTCCCTTCTTAACAAGAGAAAAAGTGGTTGTCGACAATGGTTAGGGTTTTGCCACGAGTGAACATAGCGTTTTGACACAACTTAGTATGTGTCAATGTAAGTTACTATTAGAGGAACATTGTCGAGTTAACAACCATCTAATCAAAAGGTTTAGATATCTAATACTTACTACATATAAATACACAAACGTACAAAAATTATTCAACTTAAATATATTATTTTACTGAGAAAGTTATACAAAATCTAGACTCTTGTTAATATTAGATTAGTCCTATGGGTTCGTAGTTATTATTACCCTTTTCCGCTCACTTTGTTTGAAAAAAATATAGTTAAGGTCGGTTGAGTAGTGATCCAGTGAAGTTATCAATAATTATGAAATGAATATTCTATCGAAACAACTCAAACCCATTTTGTCTAACTACAAATATCTCGCAACCCTCCCATTAAATGGCAGTCCATCGCTGTCTAACCCATACAAATTACATCTATGACCCATATTAAAAGCAGTAATTATATGCTTCTTAAATTGTATTTTAAAAATTCATCCTAAATGAATTGGCATCTTCACACACCACACATTTTATGAAGATAAAAACAATAATGTTATTAAAAGTCATCCCCCTTGGAACTGTAGTTGAACCCCTAAAATTTCCCTCTTCTATTAGCACATACGCATAATTTTGATTTTGGATCTATAGGTGGTGAGGGGGTGATCCTTTTTAGGGAGCCATTTTGGTATAATTTTGTGCATAGAATGTAAAGTGTTGAGAAAAAATAGATTTGGTATAGTTTGAGGAGAAAATGTTAGTTAGAATTTATTTTTTGGGATCACTATGAAAGGTCCAATCAAAGAAGGTAGCAAAATCGAGTCCAAAGAGACTGAGGAATAGGGTATTTTGATGGATATTTATGTTATGAGGTAGTGGGTTTTGAAAAAGGGAGAGGGAAGAGAGTTTCATTTTTTAAAAATTGATATTAATAGCGTATACCAACGTGGAAGAACTTAAGGTGAAAGTAATGCGGGGTGAGCGTGGATCAAAGCTACAAGGCTCGTGTATGCTGCTAACTGATAAAATATTCAAGGGATTGAAGGGATGCACACAGTAAAAATATAGTGGTTCACCGGTTCATGAGCTCGGTTAGTCCACTCTTCAATGGAGGTTATTGTTCCTTCTATTTTATTCATGATGATTACAAGGTTGTTATGGCTTCCTCTTGCCACTAGGGTCCTCCTCCTTGTTAGGAGGTGTTATAGTGCATTTATAAGGTCATTCCCTGTTAAGTGGGATCCTGGCCGAGATTATTGTCCTTACTTCGTGGGACTCTCCCTAATTATATACTAGCATCAAAACAACTTCACAAAACAACTTTCAACAATCAAAGATTTTACACTTTCTTTCTCCCAAAATCACCTCCCCTCGATTTACTTCCTTTCCCGTGGAAACGACCTTGGAATACCACAAAGTAAAACATGATCCGTGAAAGTCTCCTTGCGCTTGGGGAGCACTTTTGTTCACACATACTCACATTTGAAATCTCATTCATCCACCATTTCGTTGCTCTTTTCTTTTGACATCATCCCTAGGAGAGTGACACTCCCCTTTATTCATATACTATACATGCTAAAAGGTGATGTTTATAGGTTAAGAAACAACAAAAAAATTTGTCAAGCAGCTGACACCCCAAAGGCACACTTAACTGGGTTGAGCTTCATCTTGTATTCTCTCAAGACTTGAAACGACTCTGCTAGGTGCCCAATGTGGAGTTTTGCCTTCAATGACTTGACCAGCATGTCGTCAATATAGACCTCCATGGAGGTCCCAATCTATTTTTAAAACATCTTATTCACCAGGCGCTGGTAAGTGGCTCCTATATTTTTTAACTCGAAAGACATCGTTTGATAGCAGTATGTCCCTTGCTCGGTTATGAATGAGGTCTTCTCTTGGTCACTGGGATCCATCCCGATCTGATTGTACCCAGAGAAGACATCCATAAAGCTGAGAAGCTCATGTCCCGCAGTGACATCTACAATCAAATCTATTCGGGATAAAGGAAAATTATCCTTCGGGCAAGCACGATTGAGGTCTGTAAAGTCAATGCAAAGACGTTATTTGTCATTTGTCTTCTTGACTAGGACTACATTGGCTAGCCAGACTGGGTAATCCACTTCTCGAATGGCTTTCACGTGAAGGAGCTTGCTGACCTCTTCGTTGATGGCTTTCTAATGCTCCGGGGTAAAGCTCCTCCTTTTCTGCTTAATGGGCTTACAGGCTGGATTCACGTTGAGCTTGTGAGTGATCACAGAGGGATCAATCCCTTTCATGTTCTCTTGCTTTCATGTAAAAGCTTTATTGTTCATTTTCAGGAATTGGATGAGGTGATCCTTGATCTCCTTACTCAGCTTGGATCCAACGTAAACAAGATGCTCCGGCTCTTCATCAATTTGAACAGATTCCAGTTCTTCTGATGGTTTTGGTCTGATCTCGAGTTCATCCCTCATGTCAAGCTCATCCAATTGGATACTCTCAACCTCCTTATTTCTCATGAATGTCATGTAGCATTCCCGTGCTACGCGCTAGTCTCCTCGGACCACTCCAACTCCGTTTTCTGTTGAAAACTTCACTACAAGGTGATAGGCAGAGGGAATAGCCCTTATAGAATTGAGCGATGGTCTTCTAAGGAGCATATTATATGCTGAAGGTGCATCAACCACTAGAAATTTTACAGTTGTTGTAGTCTGACAGGGTGGGTCACCTAAGGTCAAGATGAGTTGGATTGACCCCAAGGGTAGCACCCTTTCTCCTGAGAATCCCAATAGGTGGATACTTACTAGTTCAAAAATTTCCCTTCCTATATCCATTTTGTCAAAAGTAGAAGCAAAAATGATGTCTGTCGAGCTGTCATTGTCAATCAAAACACGATGGATAGTTTTGTTGGCCACCACGACCCTCTAGATCTGAATCTGAGAAAGTGATAGTCGTGTCTAAGCGTGGAGACTTAGACACAGTATATACTTCGGGAGCTTTCGTGGCTCTGATTTTTCGCAAGTGGGCCTTTCTGGCAGAGCTAGACCCTCCTCCTCCGACAAATCCTCCAGATATCACTCTAATCTCCCCTATAGGTTGTTGGTGTGGCTCTGGTGCTTGACGTTGAGGGGGTGGGGGTGAGAGAACTCGATTTTGATTATCATTGGCCATATAGCGTTGTAGCTGCCCTCGCTGAATTATAAATTCTATTTCTCTTTTCAATTGGATACAGTCGTCGGTGTGATGACCATGGTCTCTGTGGAAGTTACAATACTTCGTAAGATCCCTTTTTGTCGGGTCTGTTTTTATCCGGGGTGGCCACCTTAAGAACTTCTCATTTTGCACCTCATACAGTATCTGAGACACCGTAGCAGTTAGGGGGGTGAGCTACCGAGGTGCATACCTTGGTTGTAGCTCTGGTTGTGGAGGGCTGAGGCGATCCCTGACATTTCCTCTTCTCTTCGGGGAACACTCTCTGTCTCTTCTTGGAGACCTGCCTTGTTCTCTTTCTTTTTTGGGATTTCGTTCTCTCTTCTTTTCTTCCTTCCCTTTCTCCTTTCTCGATGAAGAGCTCCCGACCTTCGAGAGGAGCACTTCCTCACCATTTATGTACTTTTCTGCTGTGGTGAGTACCTCCACCATACTAGCCTAGGGGTTCTTTGAGATGGAAAACATGAGGTCTTTTGACTGAACNCATAATTTTTAAAACTATAGGGAATATAATACAACAAATGTAAACTTTAAGGATAATTTTATTATAACTCAGCATCTAATGGGCTCCAAATCGTAAATTCTGCAGACACAGGTCGCACTTATCAACCCAAAGACCAAGGCCGACTTTATTTTTATTTTTCATATTTTTTAAAATTAATTTATGTAGTATTGCAATTAATTAATTAAATTGCCAACTTATAAAAATAAAATAATTAGTTNAAGGTCCCTCTTTCACATTTAACAAATGATAGCTCGGTTTTCTATAGGTCCGAGCTCCGATGAAGTGGAACACAAACAAGATTGACAGCTCTTTAAAAGAAAAAATCGAGACTGAGGGGAGTCTGTTGAATCATGCTAAGGCTGAGCCCTTCAGGATGATAGCAAATGCCCTACATCTCACTGGATCTTGATATCCCATGCAACTTCATTTGATTTTTGAACGTGTTGAGGTGGTCCACGGGATCTTTTGTCCCATCGAAAGCATCCACATGCAGTATTCTGAATTTATGTGGGAGAGGAAAATGCAGCACCCCAACAGTGAATGAGGATTCGATTTGTTGCACCAAGGCATCCATAGTGACTGAGGTCTTGCTCTTCACTGCCATCTTCATCTGGCTAAGCTCTTGCTAGATGTTTTTGAAACATTGTTTCCAGTGGTGTTCTCTTCTCTCATGTTGATAAAGGAAGAAGTCGCTCCTCTCCCCTTCCTTATACTGACTTTGCACTTCCTCGTTGTGACCATTCCTAGGGGGTTAGGCGAGGTTCTTGCCCCAAGGTCTGACTATTCTCCCTCACCTCATTAACTTCTCTAAGGGGGTTGAGATGTGGTTGCTCTCTTGGTGGTGGGTTATTCTGGTCTCCTTGGGCCGATCGTGCCTCCTGTGGGTGTTGTAGGAGCTTTAAGAGCTCTTTGTTCTGTTTTATCAGATGTTCATTGACAAGATGAAGGGCCTTCATCTCATTATTCATGGGAAAGGCCCCCCGTGGGGGGATCTACTTCTTAAGCGTTTTGGGTCGTCTATTATTTGCGGCTTCCTGTTGATCTTGTATCCGTAGAGGATTGGTCTGACTTCGGCTCATGTTTCGTGTTGATACCATCAGTCACTGAAAAATTAGCTCTATTCGTAACAGGAACAGTCGTTCCCACAGACGGCGCCAAACTGATAGCGTATACCAACGTGGAAGAGCTTAAGGTGAAAGTAATGCAGGGTGAGCGTAGATCAGAGCTACGAGGCTCATGTATGCTGCTAACTGATAAAATATTCAGGGGATTGAAGGGGTACACACAGTAAAAATATAGTGGTTCACCGACTCAGGAGCTCGGCTAGTCCACTATTCAAAGGAGATTTTTGCTCCTTCTATTTTATTCACGATGATTACAAGGTTGCTATGACTTCCTCTTGCCACTAGGGTCCTCCTCCTTGTTAGGAGGTGTTACAGTGCATTTATAAGGTCATTCCCTACTAAATGGGATCCTGGCCGAAATTCTTGCCCTTACTTCGTGAGATTCTCCCTAATTCTAGGAGAAGATCTTGGTTGGTTTAAATTAGGTGTCTTAATTATTGCTTCTTAACACTTTTAAGAACCTCTCGTGATCTTTCAGCTGTTGTTTTGGTTGTTATTGTCCTTGCTTATCCCGAAGGGACCTCTAGTTCTACTTTTTCGAGTTCTGTTCGTCTAATCTAACCTCCTGAGCTGAGCTGACCTCCTGAGCTAGCATTTATAATTTATTTTGAAGTATCATCAGATATGAAACAAAGTTTGGGAATATCAAGATACAAGGGCTAAATTGTTGTTAGTCAATTGATTGTCAACTAGCTAAGTCCAATTGATAATAAGTTGACCTAAAACCTTAAAGCATTTTTTTTCATAATTTTTAAAACTATAGGGAATATAATACAACAAATGTAAACATTAAGGATAATTTTATTATAACCCAGCATCTAATGGGCTCCAAATCGTAAATTCTGCAGACACAGGTCGCACTTATCAACCCAAAGACCAAGGCCGACTTTATTTTTATTTTTCATATTTTTTAAAATTAATTTATGTAGTATTGCAATTAATTAATTAAATTGCCAACTTATAAAAATAAAATAATTAGTTGACTATAAAAACACAATAATTAATTGATCTAATTTTTATATACTTTGATCAAATAATATAAAATTTATCGTAATTTTTTTTGCTAAAAAACATCATTTTCTCTATACGACTCTCAATGTAAGACAATCCTATTAATTCATACGTATCTTTCTTTTTTTTCCCAATAACTTATTATTATTTGTGTCCATTTTAATTTTATATAATTAAAAAAATTATTATTTAAAATATAACTATTATACAATCAATAATCTTTAATATTATACAATATCTTAAAACACGAGTTATTACTAATAAGTAAGAAAAATGTTTTTTTGTACCTAGTTTAGTAACCTTATTTAGTGACATAATGAATCATAACTATTAATTTAATATTGAATTCTAATTACTAATAGAATTTACTATCAATTTAATAATAAAATCTATATAATAAAATATAATACAATTCAAATTTTAAAAGATAAATAAAATTATTTTTATTTTTTGTGGTTGAAATCTTTTTAAATTTTATTTTAAAGTTAATCCGATGATTAATATTAACACAAAAAATTTAAAAGAAAAATAGGCATAAAATGATGTGTTTTTGATGACTTTTTAAAAGTACTTGTAAAACTTATAACTTATTATGAGTACTTAAAAAAAAAATATTGTTTGGAACCGTCCCACCACCGCGCCACCACCCCCCTTACCACACCATCACCACTACCTCTATCGCCCCCCATCATCACCACTATTACTATCACCATCACTGCCACCGCCACCCACAACACCACCGCTGCCCTAGTCGCCACCCAACCATCGCCACTGTTCTACGATCACCCTTACCCCCATCGCTTTCACTATCGCCATCCCACCACCACCACCACTCATTGTCACCCACTCCCACCACACCTACCACTATCAACCACCACCACATGTCGTCGCCCACCACACCTACCACCACCATTTGCCATCATTCATCACCTTGTCGCCCAAAAAACACCTATCATAGCCCACCATTGCCACAACCACAGTTGTCGCTCCACCACTACTATTGCTAACCACCATCACTATCACCCATCACCGCTGTCACCCATAACTATCACTATTACCATTGTCAACCAAAATCCACCATTACTATCACCATTGCCACTCACGATTGTCACTATTACCACGATTGTCGCCACCTATCATCACCATCACTGTCGTTGTCACCCACTATCATTATTATCGCTCATCCTATTATAATCGATGTTTAAATTCTTTTATCTCTTATTATATTTGTAATTTAATTTTAAATATATATACATATATATATTTATTATTGTCCAGACAATAACCAATTATTAAATAAAGTGCAAGTAGCATTGCGCAATAACACTGAACAGTCCCTTTAATTTTGACTGAGCCATCTAAATTCAAGGGCCCCATTTTTCTCTACTATCTTCTAAAGATTCATGAGCGGGACGGTACGGTTCACCACCAGTCCAAAGGCTAATATAAAACAGGAGGGAAGGGCTCGACAAAAAGGCAAATTTCAAAGTCCCCCCTCTCTCTCTAGAGCGTCTGCTTCAATTTGAAGCTGTCTTTTCTCTCTCCTTCGTTAGAACTGTAATAAGTATATCGGTTTCTAAACATTGATTCGAGCTAGGGTTTCGTCCGTACAGTATCTAAGGTTTTGAAGTAGTGCTCGTTTTCTAGGGTTTGTCGCTCGTCACAGTCTGATCTCTCCATGGCGGCGGAGAAGCTTAGGGATTTGAACCAGCCAATTGATGTGGTTTTACTCGATGCCACAGTCGCTGCTTTCTATGGCACCGGATCTAAGGAAGAGGTCAGAATTCTCTCTATCTCTATGTGTGTGTGTCTACAGTATTCTCTACCATTGTGTTTATATATGTTTTTTAATTGCTGAGAAGTATTTGGAAGGAAATTGAATCATACTTTTGAGTCGTTTCTTGAATTCTTTTTGACTCGAGAAAGTATGGGGTCCAGTATAATGGACCGAATATGACCAATGGCCGTAGCTTAAGGACCTAGGGTGAGTTTTCTAGGGAAGCAAACCGCAAGACTACTGATTTTATTGACGATGAAAGGTTCGTATCCTTTCAAATTGTTTGTTCTATTTGTTGTATTTTGGTCACTGTAATTTTGAAGTGGAGCTGAATGAGAAACGAAACATTCCACTTACACGAATAAAGAACAAAAGAAAATCAGACCTAAATTTTTCTGTACACTTCGATTGCTCTTCATCTGAGTGTTTAAATAGGAATTTCCTCTACGAGATTTGATGAACGTGATTTGGATAATTCATTAACAATGTGCCTTTACAGATTTTTGCGCATATTAGTGTTTCAGTCTGTCAAGTTAGTGTACAAAAGGACACATTAGGAGCGATTGATTCTGTTGCTTGACATGGAGGGTATACCTAATTTTATTTAGTTGCTAAGAGTCTGTAGCAAGGAGAAAGAAAACTGTAAGAAATGACACAACTAGCATAGGTCATTTTATTTAGTGATGTCAAAACTATCACTCTTTTTCTTTGTTCGAAGGATTTTTCAAGGGTAGAAAGAGTTAATAACTGTCGACAAGTTTTTGTAAAACACTTGTGCAATTGCTGTGTAATAAATGAGGTTACGACATTACCTGTCAAACTTAAAAAATAAATGACAAAAAGACAGACATGAATGGTGTAGCAGTTAGCTATGGAGTACAAATGTGCCACATGACTATACTAATGTCTATGGCGGTGTTTCTGTTATTGAGGGCTAATGCCCCGAGGGGGTCCATCACACATGTGATCCAACAACGTGAACCATCTTTTAATTCTCTATGTCACGCTATTACCCATGATTTTTGTGGGTTCCTTACCTTTTCACATAATTCTAATGTGTGTTTCCCATATCCTATAGATGCTCTTTCATTGAGCACTGTTTGATTTATTATGTCTATTTGTTGGATACCATTCATTTGTTCCTCTTTCTTTTTTCATGGCAACATCAACGCCTTCACCATATTGCAACTACTGAGTTTGGATTTGATGGAGGGGAGATTGAAGAGAAACTCGGGGCATGAATGCAATAAAATTCAAATTGCAATAAATTACTTGTAACGAATAAAACACTTATCTAGGCGATGGTGGTGCAATAGATGGGGCTATATCTTACTTAGAAAAGAATGACAAGAACATGAATGTTATAATAGTTAGATAATAGGAATGACAAGTTTGTAACATGAACAATTTTTAGACAATTCAAGTTGTCAGAGTATGTTAGGAAATTTTGGGAAGGAAAATGTGGCGAGCCACTTCTATTGGTAGATATTAGGTACATATGCTGGATCGGTTTTACTGTCTACCTGCTTGAATTCTTACTTATTTTCAAAACTCATCACATTGAAACACCCCCCACCCCTTCTCCTTTCGTTAACTTGGACAATTTCATATTTTTACGTGTACATTTTTGATTGTATTTATGGCAATTTTATTTTGTTTGGGCTATAGAGCAAACAGAAAAAGAAATCAGTATTACCATCACTGGTTTAACTGTTGGTCGTCTGGAGTATGATGTAATAACAATTCATAAATGTATTATTGATAACAATAGTTAGTAAATGGCATTATTGGAAATGTGGGAAGCGTCAGATTTGAATCATCGACATAATTCCTCTAATTTACTTCAAATCCCAATTAGCTTGTTATAATTATAATAAGAAATTGATCAGAATACGTGCTAAGTTAGTAAGGGAGTTATGCATATACTAAAAATTTCAGAGATTGAATTTCACAAGCAGCTTTATAGGATCAACAAAATAGGACAATTATTACTTATTATATGCAACAACATAACATTAAGCCAAAATGAAAGGCATTTATTGTCATTTATTATGCTGTCAAGCTTTACTAATTCAAAAACATTAAAGAATGTCTAAATAGACCACCAATTTAATTACCTTTCTATGATGCAAAAAGAAAAAAAAGTTTTAATGAAAGATGCACATTTTAAATGGAGTTGATATGGACACAGTGGGAATCAATGTGAAAGCAAACAGAATATAGTTTGTTTAACAAGCAATATATTCTCTTATTAGGGATGGGTTGAAAAGGAGGAACCAATGTGAAAGCAACGTCAAACTATTTAACCTCTGCATGATTCAAGAGAGACTAATGAAATTTTAAGAGAGAAAAGAGAGTGAAATATAAGAAAGAAAAAATGCCTAAAAGGGAGAGTGAAAGACAGAGAATGGAGAAATAAGAATTACCGAGAGATAGAATAACCAGGCAGACTGGTTGTAGTAATGCTGGATTTCAGATTGTCGGTGTGCCATGTTGGACATTTGGAGAGGTGACTTCGTTTAATTAACTAGTTTTGTAGAGGTTAAGCTGAAGATGAGCTTGATTGAGCTCTAAATTCCTTACATATGGTAGTGATCCACCTGGTTTGACTGACCCCTGAATGGGTCTTACAGATTACCAGCATAATTGCTGGTCGAAGCAAGGCTTTTTTTAAGGGAGGAAGCAGTTCAAAGAGTTTCATGACATGGGAAAGGAGTCAATTCCTAATCTGGGTTTTTTGATTTGTTGGCTTGCTCTGGGTCCTCATCCCTCTCCCAATTTTATGCCACTTTAATTGGCAGTATTTCCACCTTCCCCGAGCATGATTTATACACTTTTTCAAACCAAATTCAATTTTAGTGTGTCAAGCTGGTGATCAAATTCTGCTTGCCAATAAGAAGGGTTCAAGAAAACCCCGTCCCACGGAGATGGGATTCCAAACATTAATTGGTTATGTGTTACCCTTTTCCTTGAAAGTTGATTTTAGACTTCTATCAACTATAAAACTAATTTTTTCTTGCTGTGCTACAGAGGAATGCTGCAGATCATATATTGCGGGACTTGCAAACTAATCCAGACATGTGGCTTCAAGTGGTTCACATTTTATCAAATACACAGAACTTGAACACGAAGTTTTTTGCTTTGCAGGTCAGTTTTAATCTAATAGAACATTCTGTATCTGTTTAACTGGGCGTTGTCTTTTGGTAAAGGACTTTATGAAGATCACAGTGGTATTGAATGTCACAGTCTGGCTGTTGAACAAATTAAATATTAGCACAACTTAGATACATAATAAGCACTCTGTTTTTAGGTTGTGCTTATTTGCTTAATAATTCCTGTGTTTTTTACATCCTTATAAATGTGGCTAATTGTCAATAAGGATTGTATATCCTCTCGAGGTCTTCTTTAATGTTAATGACTCTAAAAGATAATAAAGTTAGTCACCCATAAATTATATAAGCTCTCCTATTTTTTTTGGACACTAAAAAGGAAACAGGTTCAATGTAGGTATTTAACATCTGTCATTTTGCCATGATATTAGTGTGGGGTGCTGATGCTTGTTGTTTCTGACCATTTAATAAAGAAAGAGAAGACATTGATAGTGTCCTTCCTAGTGAAAGGTTGTACGCTTTCCGGTGAGGATGTTGATTGATGTTTAGGGTCCAGTGGCTTGTCTTGGCAAGTTGGCATTTAATTGGATATGGGATTTGGGGACCGAGGTTTGGTAGAACTTCGTGGTTGAAAGAGAGTGCGTTCGTCCAATGTGGTAGCTAAAACCAATAAATGGATCTGACACCTTTAGGAATGTCCTTAAGTCCTCTCTGTTTATCACATGATATGCACTTGGCTGGGGATAAAAGGTTTAATGTTGTTCTAAAGTGTCACACTTCTCCATTTTGCCGTTATACACTCTTCACTTTATGTTCCATTTTAAGATACGGTAAATTGAAGAGGGAAGGAATTTTGTTTTTGTGAATAATGTCTTAGCCCCGTCTTCATTCTACTTGAATGGAGTTTGGCCAATTTTGAAAAAAACAATTATTTTTGGATTTCAGTCTGACCAGGATTATACAGCCCCTAATCAGAGGATCGACTCCTTTGATTTTAAGATTCCGAAGAATATGTAGATGCTATTGCACATGTTCACTCTTCTGCTAAAATCTGTTCTAATAGGGACAAGAAGTATTATTTTAGAAACTTACATGGCGTGATTGTGTTACCTTGAACAAAATTCTGGNTGCTATTGCACATGTTCACTCTTCTGCTAAAATCTGTTCTAATAGGGACAACAAGTATTATTTTAGAAACTTACATGGCGTGATTGTGTTACCTTGAACAAAATTCTGGGGTTCAAGTTAATTTGTTATTCCATGTTTATTTTATGGGTTGTTTGGGCAATGCACACATTGTTTTTTGTTCTTTTTCTGAGGTGCTTATTTGATCTTGTTTACTGAGTTCCCATCTACAGGTTCTGGAAGGGGTTATCAAGTATAGATGGAATGCATTGCCCGTTGAACAGCGAGATGGAATGAAAAATTACATATCTGAAGTTATTGTAAAGGTAATTATGACACGGGTTTTCTTGCAAATTTGCAGTTGATTTTATGTTTACTTTCCCTATGTGGTGAAATGTGGGATTTCTAAGTTTTTACTCCATCATGCTTTAGCTTTCGAGTGATGAGATATCTTTTCGCCGGGAAAGGCTGTATGTCAACAAACTGAATATTATATTAGTCCAGGTAAAAACTCCTCTGCTTCCTATCAATAATAATTAGTAATATTATGATAGTGATTGTGTCCTATACGTTTAGTCTGTGTTGGGCATCATTAGGACCCTATTTATCTGATCTATGTCTTATGTGGCCTCCAAATATACAGATTTTAAAGCATGAATGGCCAGCCAAGTGGCGAAGCTTCATTCCTGATTTAGTCGCAGCAGCAAAAACAAGCGAAACAATTTGTGAGAATTGTATGGCCATACTGAAAGTAAGCCTGATTTATGTTTTCTCGTTTTCATGAAATCTGATTGTAAGCAAAGGTGATTAACTTTAAAGTGTCAATTTTCAGCTTCTAAGTGAAGAGGTTTTTGATTTCTCGCGGGGTGAAATGACTCAACAAAAGATCAAAGAGCTTAAACAATCATTAAACAGGTGATTTTGTTGTACTTGGTGATGTTGTGGACTCTATCTTCTTATTTATTTCTTGCTTCTCTAGCATCTGTTGCTAGCCATCTACTGCTAAAGCTGATGTCACTGGAGGAAAGCTCATACGACTAGGGAACATTTGGGTGATGCAAATTCCGTATTTGAGAACAGACACGTGATTAACATTAAGGCCTAAAAAAAATAAAACTATGTGATTCTGCATTCGACTGGGATTGTTACTCATTTCTAATGTTTTCTGAAGTTCTGCCCCTGCTCTTTGGTTGTTTATTTAGAATTGGCATGACCACTTGTATTTGAGTAGTTCTTCCCTCCGTGCAAGTACCTTGTTTACGGTGCCTTTCTACATTTAGTTAATAATATTTTCTCAACCATAAATTATTGACATTTATTAGTTTCTAAGAAGTTTGTTATTTTTTTGCAGCGAGTTTCAACTCATTCATGAGTTATGCTTATATGTACTGTCAGCATCTCAAAGACTTGAGCTTATCAGGGCTACACTGGCCACATTGCATGCTTTCCTTTCATGGATTCCTCTGGGCTACATTTTTGAATCCCCACTGGTTTGTACATTATTTTAGCAATATGGGTGTTCATTGTTCAACTGAAGAACATTTTTGTTAACTTATACTATCGAGTGAAGTGGACTTTTACTTAAATATATCTTCCACCTCTCAACCTTGTCTTGTGCAGCTGGAAACGCTGCTTAANTGAGTGAAGTGGACTTTTGCTTAAATATATCTTCCACCTCTCAACCTTGTCTTGTGCAGCTGGAAACGCTGCTTAAATTTTTCCCTTTGCCAGCGTACAGGAATCTCACCCTCCAGTGTTTGACAGAGGTCTGTCATATTTTTTTTTTAAACAAAGAAATTCTGGGTACTGTATTTTGATCTTCAACTGGTTGAATATTTATTGCTGAGTTTGTTGATGTCCACAGGTTGCTGCCCTTAACTTTGGGGATTATTATAACATGCAGTATGTTAAAATGTACAACGTATTCATGGTGCAATTGCAGGTGTGTGAGGATTTTTATGGGCCCCGATGTGCAATTCAAATTCCGATGTTACACTTGGATTTTAGGAAGCACATACACTTCATTTTGAGCAGAGTGTCGGTGTCAGACACGTTTGGGACACGAACACGCTTCGGACACATTAAAATGAGTGTCCGATTTTTTTATTACTAAATTTTTTTCAAGACACNCTAGGAAGCACATACACTTCATTTTGAGCAGAGTGTCGGTGTCAGACACGTCTGGGACACGAACACGCTTCGGACACACTCGGACACATTAAAATGAGTGTCCGATTTTTTTATTACTAAATTTTTTTCAAGACACATTTTGGACTCGTTGGGGACACGTGGCCGACACGCTCAGACATGTTGGGGACACGGAACCGACACGCTGGGGGACACGTTTTGAGATTTATTTTCAATTTTTTTGAGAACTTTTTAGATAATTTTATAATTAGGAGTTATTTTTCTAATTTTAAAGAGATATGAGTCACAATCATAATATAAAAGAAGTTATAATCATTACATCGAGTATAAGACATGAATGTAACATAATTTGGATACAAATACGAACTTATATACAAATGGAATAAACTTTTAATATGAAATTAATGTCAAAAAAATGGTATTACAAATTGGTGCACTTGGAAATTGATGAAAATTAGTAACTATTTTTATTTTGTCACATGATTATATATATATAAATACATATTATTTAACGTATCGCTAACGTGTCTGTGTCCTACTTTTTTGAAAAATTTCGTGTTGACGTGTTCGTGTCCCATATTTGTGTCCGTGCTTCTTAGCATGAAATTGTTGAGTTAATCTTTGGTTTTGTTTTTTACTAATTTCTTGTCGCTTTTTTGATTTTAGACCATTCTCCCACCCACTACAAACATCCCAGATGCTTATGCGAATGGATCTAGTGAGGACCAGGTGACTGCTTTACATAGATTCCAAGTCACCAGAAAGCTTGTCACACTTACATTGACATAGTTTTTTGCTTTTCTTTTCTTCAGGCATTCATTCAGAACTTGGCATTGTTTTTCACTTCATTTTATAAGGCAAGTTTTTTGTGACCTGATCATGAAGATTTTATGCAGCTATGATGTTTTGATGAAGGAATGGACTTGTGTTATGAGGAAGTTTTTTTCCTCTCTTTAAATGAAATCACACATTATTCAATGAAAAATATAGAAGGAAGCTGCATTGGATATTTGCCCAAAGAAATACAATCTACTAGCTGAAAATCTGGAAGAAGCACATTTGAACCTCCTCAGCCATGGTTGGAGATGACCTCCAAAAAAAATACATGATTTGGCTTCTGGCTTGTGAGGGACATTTGCTATTATTTAAGCTGGGCATCTCTAAATTTCTATGCACCCTGGAAGTTTTGCAGATAAATGACCATAGTTCCATGAACCAAGGGATGGAGAATACCTACCCAATGTGTTTTTACCTGTCAAAGTCTTGGCAGAATGAGCATCTTTTTGGCTAAAGGTTTGGGATTTCATCCATCCTTTTGGCTAAGGGATTGGGACAACCCACTGCCTAGCGGCACTTCTGGTCAGGCATTGATCGAGCCTATGATCTCAACTCAATTCAACTCCACAAAGCTTCATCACAATTTTTGGGGTTGGCTATATGCATCATTTTTTTTCAGTAAAATTCTATAGACTATAGAGTATCATTTTTTTGTAATGTCATTTAAAATTAATTTTAGGTTCCTCTATCCATTGCATTACCATCAATTGGTATCACCTTTATCTTAGTGAGTGATCTTGTTAATTTATCTTCTGTTGGTTCTGTTTCTATTTTTTCACTAATATACTTATTTATAGTTCTATCCTTTTTTGGCTTTACCACACATCCAACTTAACATCTTCATTTACGCAATACTCACTCCTATGGCCTATGATATCTGCGCCAATATTAGATCTTGATTCCATCAGCCTGGAGAAAGTTAAGACAACATCATTGATCTCTGATGGTGCTCCATAATAGTCAACCTTGGTTATCAAAACAGATTCATTAGAAATAAATTTGATTTTCCAGTCTGATGGAGCAATTTAGGACTTGGGTGTGGGCTTAATATTCACATAAGAGAGAGTTGAACATGCATATGTATCTCAAGATGGGCTTAATATTTACCCTAGTAGTCTTGTCACTCTGGAGCTTATATGTGGACTATGGCATCTGGCATGAACTCACACTCTGGATTGAATATCTTGAGTATTAAACGGGCCTTAAAATAAGACAAAGCATCTATTGTGGCATTTTCAATCAGTTTGTCAGCTTTTCTGATAACCCATTTCTTTATGCAGTCTCATATTCAAGTGCTAGAATCCACACAAGAGAATATATCTACTCTCTTAATGGGCCTAGAGTATCTGATTAACATCTCATATGTGGATGACACAGAGGTTTTTAAGGTATGATTCTTGGATATGACTACAGCACCTTGGCTTTGTGCTTCCAAATTGAATGTTTTGATTTGATCTTTCAGTTCTATTTCTCTATTTTGGCAGGTTTGTTTGGACTATTGGAACTCCTTTGTTTTAGAGTTGTTTGAAGCACACCATAATTTCGATAATCCTGCAGCAACTGCACAATTGATGGGTCTGCAGGTACGATTGATTCTTTGGTGTGAGAAACTATGATGAATTGATTGGTGGGTTTGCTTAGTAGTTGGATTGCCATTTTCTTGAATTTCTTTCGATTGCTTGGATTTTTTTGTTTCTATCATTTGTATAATCATCTTATATTATCTTCTTGTAAGCATGATGAGGAGACAGGCATCATTTTTACCATAATTTGTTTTTTTACCAGATCTATTCATCAGTAAAAGTCTTGTCAGAGAAAAAATATAGAGCCCCAACGACTGATGCAAATGATCCCTATACTGGTTGCTGCATATTGGAATGATGGCTTCTATTTGATGTAATCATAGCTAATAGGAAAAGGAACATGATTTGGTTGAACCAATGAGTGGAAATGTTGGATATTGCTTTTAGTAATTCGAGTTTGGCAAGTTGGCATTGAATGATCCCAGGTTACTCTAACAATATTGGAATGATAGCTTCTATTTGATGTAATCATAGCTAATAGGAAAAGTACCATGATTTGGTTGAACCAATGAGTGGAAATGTTGGATATTGCTTTTAGTAATTCGAGCTTTACATTTTGTTGACATTTCGTGAAGTAAAACCTGGAGAACAGTTAGTGGATCATTGCGAAGATGGAGAAAAGTATTTAGTTTTCCTTTGCAGCTTTAATTGATTGGCATGCCTTAGGAGTTAAGTTGCAGGTGTAATTGATTAGCATGCCTTAAGAGTTGGATGGATATCTTATGAAAAAGGGATCTCAGGATGAGTAGTTTTTTTTCTTTCCAGTTTTCCATATATGTATGGATGTTGCCAACTTGACCTTACTGGAACAGGCTGTTAAATTGAGCTTATGCTACATTATGTTCCGTCTTGTAAGGGCAATGAAGCCTACCGATAGTAGCACTTTAGAGTTCAAACCTCAAGTATGTTCGAAATTTCAAGTATTTTCCAGGACTGCTGCTCAAAAGAGAATTAATGCCAATGAAATGATCCAACAGAGAAGACCATGTATTTCTTTATTTCTACAATGGTGCGTGATGTGTAAAAGGAATGAGGAGAGCATTGATCATCTTTTTCTTCATTGTTCGTTTGCTTTATGGAGTAGGTTGTTTGGAATAGTGGAAGAGAATTGGTTTGCTCCGGGTTCTTGTAGGGAGATGTGTGAACTTGAGTTTTGGGTTTTTGGAAGGAGTAAGAAAACAAATTCTCTTTGGAGATGTGTGGTGATATACTATCTTTTGGAGCATTTGGTTGGAAAGAAATGCAATAATTTTTGAAGACAAAAATGAGAACTTGCATGGTATTTGGGAGAGAATTTGCTCTGACTTCCTTTTGGGCTTCTGTTTGCCCCAATTTTTTCGGAATTCCTTTCTTTTTGATTAGGGCGGAGTGGAAGTTTGTGTGCGATTTGTAATTGTTACTTTTGAGTTAGTTGCATTTAATTTTATGTTGCTTCATATTGATGGACTTGTCCCTCATGTAAACTTTTTTCTATATTAATAAAAATATTTGTTGTTGATTATCAAAAATATTAAACGTTATGATCTACATGAAGAGATAGTTTGGTTGCAGTCTTAAGGGGTAGATTAAAGAGTTATAACAGATTAAAACTTTGGAATCCAGGGGTAGTTTGGTTGCAGTCTTTAATGATAGATTCAGGAGTTATAACTGATTAGAACTTTCTAATACAATCTTATACTACATTTGGTTGTCAAAAGTACTTATACGAATAAAACAATTTATCCATACTATTTGCCAATTTTAATACTACCTGCAGAAGTGGTATTATAAATCAGTTCAATTGTGTTAGGTTGTAAATTTATTATTTTGCTCACCAAATAAATAAAACTACACATAACTAGTNAGATTAGAACTTTCTAATACAATCTTATACTACATTTGGTTGTCAAAAATACTTATACGAATAATACAATTTATCCATACTATTTGCCAATTTTAATACTACCTGCAGAAGTGGTATTATAAATCAGTTCAATTGTATTAGGTTGTAAATTTATTATTTTGCTCACCAAATAAATAAAACTACACATAACTAGTATATATTGTTGGTTTTTTTGGTCAATATGTAATTAGTATTAGGGGAGAACTGAACTAGCCAAACGTAAGGTTGGACTGGACAACTATAATCTCACTTTTAATCTAGTGTCTTACCAAACACTGGATTACAATGACTAGTATTGTTGTCCCCCACTTAATTTTTGTTTTATCTGCTTATACGGAATTAGCTTGGATTACCTGACACAATCCTTTCTTTTATAATATGGTAACCAAACGACTTGAAAATTCACAGTTTGGACAAGTGAAAAGTTCCTTGGTATTAAAAAAATATTTGTTTTAAAATATTCCTTATTAATTAAAAGAAACTGTTCTAAAAGAATTCATGGTGTATGTCTGTAATGTATGTGGATTATCTTTGTTATTGCATGTACGTTCCTAGCATATAAGTGAAAAAATGTGTTCAATATATATATATTTGTGTGTGTGTGTGTGTGTGTTCAATATATATATATATATATATGATTAGACAGAAGATACTAATGTAATCTGTCTTTCTGTTTGTTGAATCAGCAGATGCTTCCTGGTGTCGTTGATGGTCTTGGTTCACAACTTATGCAACGACGACAACTTTATGCTGGTCCAATGTCCAAGTTGAGATTACTTATGATCTGTCGCATGGCAAAGCCTGAAGAGGTTCTCATTGTTGAAGATGAAAATGGGAATATCGTCCGTGAAACTATGAAAGACAACGATGTCCTTGTTCAATACAAGGTGTTTAATCTTAACCACCAACCCTCCAAAAAAAATAGTCTTGAAATTATATAAGATTTTAATACCTATATATGACTGATAAAATGGAATGTTGACCTCATACTTCCTATATTCTGTCTTTTATGTGGTGGACATCTCATAGGTCTTTTTTAGGGCTTTAAACAGTGGCAGGGTGTCTCTGGTGTGACACCACTCCTCGCAAGATATGAGAATATATCGGAGTTAGTCTGCCAGTTTAGCAGCTAGGAGTACTCTTCATCTGCCACCAAAGAAGCAGAGTGGCCAATAACTTCTTTATTTCTTTGTGTACATTTTTTGGAGTAACCAGGGCAAGCACCTGCAAGTGTCTTACAAATTATATGTTTTTGGCATATTAGTTGGGGTAAAATGGCAATACTGCTGGTGAGATTATAAAGGACATTTACATCTTCAATTTAATATCTTTAATGCAGTTTTTGCAGGATTAAATAATCAAGCACCTGCTTGTGTCTTACAAATTATATCTGTTTCTGGTATAGTAGTTGGGGTAAAATGGCAATACTGCTAGTGAGATTATAAAGGACATTGACATCTTCAATGTAATATCTTCAATGCACTTTTGGCAGGATTAAATAATCTAGTGTGTTTGGGAATTATAGTAAGTCATCTTTATTATGGGAATGTGTGGTTATGGCAATTCTTTGGGGGATATGTTTGGAAAGGAGTAATACAATTTTCGATGACAAAGTACAATTTGTGGAATTCCTTTGGGACAGAATTAGTTTTTGGCCACTCTTTGGCATCTACTTCTAAAGAGTTTGAGGATGTACCTTTCTCCCTCCTTACACTTGATTGGAAGGAGGCTTGTAGTTAGAAGAATACATGAATAGCTCTTGATTGATGCTATTTGTTTCGATGTTTGTTTTTAGTTTTTCTTATCCTTTCTTTTGTTTTATTTGTTCCATCTTTGGGTGGATTTCTTGTCTGTGACATTGTAATTTCATATTCTATCTAACGAAAATTTTATGTTTCTTATCAAAAAATAATCTCGTTCTTAAAGTTGGCCATAAAAATATTTCTATTGCCATAGAATTTATATTCAACTCATAATGGTCCTAAAATAATTGAAATCAATTAATTTGTCACTGTTTCGGAACAATGGAAGTCGTCTTGACTCTTGTATATCCATATTTTGTAAATTTCTTCTTTGAACAGTCTGACTAGAAGTTTTATTGCACAATGAATCTTAAAATATAGACTTGTTTTCTGTAAACTAAAAAGGTATGCTAGATATTGACTCCATCTTTCTATAGAATTTTTTTTTTGTTCTTGACTTCCTCAACTCAACTCAATCAACAAAGTCTTGTCTCAACTTTTTGGAGTCAGCCACATGAATCTTGTTCCTCCATTGTGCTCTTCCAAAGGTTATATTTGTTGTTATACTGCAAGTTGTCATATCTTATATTAATTAAGCTCAGTGTTGCAGATCATGAGGGAAACATTGATTTACTTGTCTCACCTTGATCACGAGGACACTGAAAAGCAGGTAAGTTTTTACCATTGTGCTTTTTATTTCTCACTTTCTATTTTTTCCTTATAGGAAAAAGTAGGTTTTCATAGAAATTTCCTGACTTGTGTCCTCCTTATACACGTGAGGCTAATAGTTCATTGCAAAACTATTACATGTCCATTATATGGGCGGATGTTCATTTGGATTTAACTGGAGTACTGCAATTAGGGAGTGAGTGTGACAATGGAATTAAATTTGTTGGAGAATGAAAGCGAAAGAGAAATATGGTCTTTAAGAAATCAACTTCATGTATGAATCTTCTTTATGGAAAACACACTACCAGGTAAAATTCTTAGGAACATAGATAAAAAGTTTGGGGGCTTCCTAGACAGTCAATGCTTCTATCCTTTGGAATATTACTGAACTCATGCAAACCAAATCTTCTTTTGTTAAGTTTCATGCTTCTCTTATGCATTGGATTTTTGTGCATGTCATTTGATTGTGACGAAGGAGTTGTTGACTCAATGCAGCTTCTTTGTGCTTTGTTTGTGTGGACTTATTAAGATGCCTGTTGGGATTCAAAAGCATGCCTGAAACCTGTGGTGAATTTCCCTTGTGGTTCATAAATTTGTTCATTATTTCATTCTATTACATCCAAGGGACAATATATGTTTATATTATGGATTTGTCTACCATTAGAGCAGTTAGAACAGCTCTTCATATTCACAGTGATGAATGGATGATAGATACTTGTGAAGAGTTTTGCATCTATATGAAACAAATTAGACTGGACATCTGCAGTATGCCTTGTTTTTATTTTTATTCTTCTTTGCTTTTGATTATTGGATAANTTATGTTTATATTATGGATTTGTCTACCATTAGAGCAGTTAGAACAGCTCTTCATATTCACACTGATGAATGGATGATAGATACTTGTGAAGAGTTTTGCATCTATATGAAACAAATTAGACTGGATATCTGCAGTATGCCTTGTTTTTATTTTTATTCTTCTTTGCTTTTGATTATTGGATAAAAAAAAATTCAACTGTTACATGCACCAGTAAGAACTTCCTAATCCACATTCTAGACTACTGAATTGCATGTTAAGTTTAAGAAATTTTGCTAGTGGGTAATTGTTAGAGGCATCTTCCTGTGTTTTTTTTTATTCCACTGTAATAAGTAGGACCTTTCAGCCAGTGTAGAATCTTTACTTTAAATTGTTAAACAGGTTTGTAAGTTATGAAACACACGTCACTTATTTGTGATAGTGCTTGGTAGTTGGCTTTCTATTAGGTCAAGGAAAAGCTCACAGCTGTTTTAGCAGCAAGCTTGTTTTTTGACTGAAAGTTTGTTTTCAACTTCATTCTTTCATCGGAGAAAGTTTTCATGGTCACTTGGATCATCCAAGATGTGATAATGAAAGGCTCCATAGGAACATGATCATATAATGATGATGACATGGTGATTTGAGGATGTGTCATAACAGAATTTGCCTCTGTGCATGGTCAGCATGTGATATTTTGGATATTGTTGCTCTATCTAATGATGATTTGTTGACTAAAGCATTAGATCATAAATATCCTTCTCCATTAGCTGTGTTGTTTGATTTTTTTTTTTTGGCTCCATAACCCATTAGATTATATGTAAGTTAATATGCCAAATGTTATCATCCAGTTTGTTGTCCATTGATGGAGAGTTCTTGGAATGTTGAGCTAAGTACAGACCTAATATTTGGCATAATTTACACAAATTGGTTTTCCTTAGATCCGAATTCATAACCTGGTGATTGTTAGCCTGAGCATGTTAAAACTGCACTAAGCAATGATCCCTATTTCAATTTACGTTGATACTTTTTTAATGAAGCTATTTATTTCCTATAAACAAATTCATTGAAATAGTTTTAATTTGGATTTATTTGCTCTTTTTAGTATGTTATTCATGCAAGAAGATATACTAATCAATATTTTAAATCTTTGCATATATTATTTGATTGGATTTAAGAAAGCTATATAGGTTTTTTTCAAGCCTTGAGTTCATATCTATATTATGCAATCTTTGACACGTATAGTTTCTTTTCTTATTGGGATAATACAGATGCTGAAGAAATTAAGTAAACAACTGAATGGTGAGGATTGGACATGGAATAACTTGAATACATTATGCTGGGCAATAGGATCTATATCTGGGTCCATGATGGAAGAGCAGGTATGCTTCTTTGGCATTGAACATAATTTTTCCTATGAAACCATTTTCAAATAAAAGGTTTTATTTTCTATAGGTACACGTTGCATAAGCTTTATATCAGCAAATAAATTTATTTTGAGGCCCAAATTATTTTGTCCTATGAAGTCATTGCATGTGATTGATCAATCCTGGAAATAGCCATTTTTCAATGTATAACTTCATAATTAGTAGTGATAGTTTAGCACATGTTGCAAAGCTTATCAAAAGGTGGCTGTTGTCATTGTATTTTTACTTCTCCCCCCCCCCCTTCCTTTCATTTTATCAATTTTGTCATTTGATTATGGGGATCCCTAGAATTTCTTGAGGTAAGAAAAATTATCTTTTGATCAACTTGTGCCATTTTATGTGGTTCTTTGGCTAGAAATCCATCAAAAGTGTAAAGTTTATATTTATAACAGCATTTCACCTTGTACTGAATGAAGAATGGGTACTGGTGGTGGAAGATCCAAGGGACCTCATAGAGATGATTGAGATGAGATGTAATGGTCTATTGAGGGCTTTTCAAGTGCTTAAGCCACAGCTATAGGCCATTGTTCTCTTGGAGGTAAATGGAATACTTTTGACACACATGAAGGTAGCCATGTAGGTAATTTTTCTGAAGGAGAAACCTCTTCTTTGTTGCTAGATTTCAAGATAAATGTTGACGGGAAAAAAGTAATGCAAATCTAGTCTAGTCTCCCCTTCACTCCACAAGGATCAAGATCAAAGGAGTAGGAGGGATTCTCATAGCTCAGTTGGGATTTAGGATTTCCTGTAATTGCCTGTTAGCTCCTGAAGTCAGGTTGCTTTGCCTCCCCTGCCCTATCCTATTAGCCTATGTATCGATACCCGGGCCTCTCTTCCTGCATAAAGTCCGGAATAGTCAGGCTTTTCCCTGAGGTGTCTCCTTTGTTGCAGCGAACAAGCACGGGATTGCGAGCGCTTTCCGCTCAATAAGGTTGGCAAAATTTTCCATTTCCTCCCTTTCCTTTTGTCGAGTAACGTCATTCCTCCTCTCCCTGAATATATACTGTGAGTAAACTCTGATGTACTCTTGCCTCTAAATCTGGCACCACATAACAATTGAATAAAAGAAGAAAACCCCACATGCATAAAGAAAGGCAAAAGGAATATATATAAAGCTTCATTTTAAGTGCAGAGAGTTGTTAATTCTTCTTGGAAGGTTTGCCGTGAAGAATACACGTACAGTGGTGATTGGTGTCAGGCTTGTTGTTCATCTCTTAGTTATAGACAATGAAAGTAGTGGACAGGGCGAGAGTTGGACTATTAGAAATACCATGGGTCAAGAGCTTCCCCAAAATTATGTGTATGTGCTGATATATTAAGGTCTAATTCTATTGTATGTAAGTCGATGTGGTAAATATACTGAAATCCACTATGTGGATAAAAAAGTTGATGGATTTAATTTCTTGTGCCTTAAGAAGGCAATCGGTATGTCCCATGTTTAGTTTTTGGGATGGGAGGTGTATGTTGGGTGGTATATAGTTTTGGTTTTTGAGGGGGATCCAACAAATCATTATTAAATCTGCAGCCCAAAATTCAAAAACATGTGGCTTTGAAGCTGACCAGGCATATCCTTAGACCGGAAGGCATTTTGACCCTTAGTCACATGATTACATGTAATAGGGTGTGAAGCGAAATATTTTTCGAAAAATGTTCTCAAAGGGGGTGTAATAGAATAGATAAGTTTAGATTAGTTCAAATTATGGAAAGATTCTATGATGTAAACTAACTTGACTGAATTGTTTGCTGACACACAGTTTTTCTGGATGGTTAATTTTGGTATTTAAAATTTGAAGCTTATGGCATGGAAGTGGAAGAGAGGGTATAAGGTCAAGTGTGGCTTGTTTACTTGGTTAAGGTTGATGTGCATTTTTATAGGAAACACACGTTTTATTAATAAGATAAAGGAAATAATACAATATCAGAGCAGACGGTGGACAAGTAGTCCATCCATATGCTAAACAGCAAAAAACATTACATGAAGACAATAAGACAAAATTAAGATAGGTAACAGTCACAAGCAGCTTCCCAGTTCACCAAGATTCCAAATAGAGGCACATTTGCAAACCCCTTTGAGATCGATGCCCAAAATGATACTAATAAGTGGATACGATTCCATAGACCTTCAACGACCTCACACTTATCTTAAAAAATTCTTGCATTTCTTTCCAAACAAATCACCCAAATAGTGGCAACAATGCACAAGCCCAAAGAGTAACTCCGTTACTCTTCCTTCTGAAGCCATCAATGGTGAAAGAGGAATGGGCGATGTCTCTTTGGCCGTCTATCTTTCAGAACTAGGATAAAGATGGTTTCCTAAACACTTGGAATAATGTTGAAAGAAGGACGGACAATGTCTCTTAGGCTGTCTATCTTTCGTAACTAGACAGAAGACGGTTTCCTCAGCACTTGAATTAATGATTCTTAGCACTCTGGAGCTAGAGGCTCAGAGCATGCAAAGGACGATCTGAACCATCCTTGAATTGGGAGCTTTAAACTAGTTTTAATTATGATGCTTCACTTCCTTTCAAGTTTTGGGATATCTAAGATTAGGCATCAGTTTGTAAGATAAATTGGTCGTTACTTTCTGCACTAGAAGAGCTCATCATTACATTTCTCCTTTTACATTTGTTGTATTCAGCTGATCTCCTGTTTTGTGGTGAACAATTGCTGTAATTTTTTTTGTTTAGTTTGTCTCTTACATGAATGTTATGGTCACAGTTCCAACAACTTTAGTCTTATTTTTGTATCTGTAATTATTTTCATATTTTGATAATTTTCCCTTGCTTCAAGCAACTTAAAGTCATGACAATCGCCACTACCAGCTTTACCACCATTATTGTCTTTATCCTTAGTATGAATTGCTTTTTTGTTTCAAGATGACATTTCTCTCCACATTGGCTGTTAGCAGGAAAACAGATTTCTCGTGATGGTGATTCGTGATTTACTTAATCTTTGCGAAATCACAAAAGGAAAAGACAACAAAGCTGTTATTGCAAGTAACATTATGTAAGAATTCAGTGTTAACGTTTCATCTTCAATTAGGTTCTACGGGTTCCTGCATCTCAGTTAGGACTTTTGAAGGCTGGCTGCCATTCTGTTTTAACTAAGTGAATTGAATAATTTTTTCGGTCATTGTTTTTTTTCTTCTCCTAAAAATCAGTTTGTCTCCGTGTATTGTATCAATATACCATGGTATGCTTCAATTGTTAATTTAGATAATACTTGGAAATTCGGATTGTAAAGTTGTGATTGCCTTGATTCAACCTTATTTATTTTCTTATTTTTTCTTGATTTGCAGGTATGTTGTTGGGCAGTACCCAAGGTTTCTAAGGGCTCATTGGAAATTCTTAAAAACAGTTGTGAACAAATTGTTTGAATTCATGCACGAAACTCATCCTGGAGTTCAGGTTTGCTACAAATTTTGTTTGGCTCTTTTGAAATCTAGACGCATGTGCAGCCGGGAAATTGTTATTGGTGGTACTATGGCTGGACGAAAATCTAGAGTTTTTATGAGTATTCTGATTTAGTGTGCAATCAGTGAATGTCACAGGTTCAACCAATTTTGGGCTTTAGTATTCATCCTAGTTTTCCATTGTTTATGACCATTATCCTAATATTCACAACAAAGAAAATTGAATAGATCTGATTTCACGTTGTGGTTTGTTAAAATTTGTAGCTGGACTTCTCACCTTTCTTCTTCATCCAATTTGTCTGTTCATCAAATATTAGGGTGGTTGATTTGTGTCCTTTCTGTACAAAGACTATTGAAGTATTGTGTTTGTAGGTAAAGGATGCAATATGGATCATTTAAGTGTTTTAGGGTGATGCACAATAAGATTGGTGTTCTATTCATCCTATTTTTCAGTATGAGTGTCGAAACTTTTCCCAAAATGTCTGGCTTTACCTTGCTTTAGTGTTTCATCTGATCGATTTTGAGGTTATGGCATTTGACATACTCTTAAAAATTGTTGAGAAGTGAAAGAATTTTGTTTGTTTGGCTTTCCTTGCTTTAATGTTACTTCTGATTGGTTTCAGGATATGGCATGTGACACATTCTTGAAAATTGTCCAGAAGTGCAAGCGTAAATTTGTCATTGTACAGGTATTATTTTCTTATCTTCGGCATTGATTTTATTACATCTTTTGTTGTGATTTTGTGTTATACGCACTAATAATTTTTGTAAATAATTTCATGGACTTCGTATTACATGAAAAAAATAATTATAATATTGCATTGATCATGGTTTTTTTTCCTTGTTTCCAGGTTGGAGAGAGTGAGCCATTTGTTTCTGAACTTTTAACAAGNCGCACTAATAATTTTTGTAAATAATTTCATGGACTTCGTATTACATGAAAACAATAATTATAATATTGCATTGATCATGGGTTCTTTTCCTTGTTTCCAGGTTGGAGAGAGTGAGCCATTTGTTTCTGAACTTTTAACAAGTCTTCCAACAACTATTATTGATCTAGAGCCTCATCAGATACATACATTTTATGAATCTGTAAGCCTATTTATGTGCGAAATTATAGACATGGAAGCATCTGTTGACTGGATTTTTTTAATTTTATAAGGGGCTGGTCATAACTAGAAAAATTTTTCTGCAAAGTTATATCAATTGATATCGCCTTTTTAGGTTGGTAATATGATTCAAGCAGAACCTGATCCCCAGAAGAGAGATGAATATTTGCAGAGGTTGATGGAGCTTCCAAATCAGGCAAGATCTTTAGTAGTACTGTTTCTGGTTCTGGAGTTCTGTTTTTTAAGTGTCCCCTTCCCACATTGCTGGTGCAGCCGAATGGTATACTGGTCCTTGTAACTTGTGGCTTATGAACATGTGGTGTGCAGAAATGGGCTGAGATAATAGGACAAGCACGCCAAAGTGTTGATTTCTTGAAAGACCAAGATGTGATCAGGGCTGTGCTTAATATATTGCAGGTATGATGCCCTGATGACAGGATTTTCCTTTGGATCAATAGAGCTAAACTTTTGTTTCTTCACATGATTTATTGCAACAATATCAGCCTGTCAAGGGCAAGGGACAAAATTTCTTTTAATTTCTTTTCGTAGCCGTTGAAGCTGCCGGAATGTTTCCAATGAAACTGAAACGAATCAATGATTGAATCAAAGTTTTAGTGCCTCGTGGTATTTCGTAATGTTTTCACCGATGTTTCGATGCATTTCAAGATATTTCGGCATATGTTGACCAAAACAATGTCAAGGGTAGAAATACGTCTAGATAAACTTTTTATGTGTATGTAATACCTCTTATTCTGGTTGGGAAGATGTGTTAGCAATTCTAATTATTTTATCTGGTCCTTTTTGTGGGTAAATTGCTGTCAAATTGGATCCTCTCTTCGTGTTTGGCATTTCATGGCATATTTCATTTTGGTGTTCCATGGCATCTGAAAGCCATAAATTCATCATCGTGGCAATTTGTTGAAGATTGTGATGCTATTATCACAAAGATTACCAAATTGTTTATTTGGTAGAAGAATAAGAATGGTTTGCATCTTATATAGAATTGAATAGTTCTATCTCAGTGGATGATGATCTTTGTTTGCAGAATTCTCAGTTTTCCTCTAGGGATTGGCTTACTATTTATCTCTTTATGTTGAAGTCTATTGATGGGCGTATTGCCTTCTAGAGAATGCAAAGACAATTTCTGTTTTCAGTTTTATATAAGAATTTTCTGGGGACAATGCCTTTTGATCATGCCTCAGACTGAAATTTCGTGGTGTTTGGTGCATAACGAATGTGTCTTTGATGCGAGACTGACAGTTAGTTTAAACTATGGATATTAACTTTCTGACAAGCGTTGAGATGCATTTGTCTAAGATCTTCTAATTGTCCTGGGTAATGTATATTTTAAATGTATTAGCAATGCACCGTGAATTTAAATAGTATTTTTTTGTTAAATCTATAAAAATATGACTTATATGTTTAATTAAATTGAATTGCAAATTATGTGTTGGAGAATTAATCCTTATTTTAATTCCTGTTAAACCTAATTATTAATTTTTCTATCCATTTTTCAGTACCTAATCTGTCATTTATTATCCTCTCCTTGATTCCTTTAGATAATTTGATGGGGATCGTGTAGGAATTGGATAGATATTTTAAATTAATCATGAGAATAATGTAAATATTTTTAGTACTTATCTTTTAAGTATTTTCTTTNTTAATCTGTCATTTATTATCCTCTCCTTGATTCCTTTAGATAATTTGATGGGGATCGTGTAGGAATTGGATAGATATTTTAGATTAATCATGAGAATAATGTAAATATTTTTAGTACTTATCTTTTAAGTATTTTCTTTTAACTTTGGGGGTTTATTTGTCATTATTTATTTGTTTTAGGGTTTTAGTTTCCCTATATAAAGGGATGCATGTAAGGGTTTTGTTTAAATTTTGATTATTATTAAATAATGATATTGCTTACTTCTTAAATTCTTTCTCTTTTCTCATCCCTTTATTCTTCTCTTTTCATCCCTAATTCTTCCCTTCCTAGTCTACATCACAATTTCACCTTTGCTTATAATGGAGTTTGATTATGAGATCGTCCCTATGTATATATAATAATAGAATATAGATTGGACTTTGCTTATTTATATAGATATAGAAAACTGAATGCAAGTACATAGGTTATAAATTAGTCNATGATATTGCTTACTTCTTAAATTCTTTCTCTTTTCTCATCCCTTTGTTCTTCTCTTTTCATCCCTAATTCTTCCCTTCCTAGTCTACATCACAATTTCACCTTTGCTTATAATGGACTTTGATTATGAGATCGTCCCTATGTATATATAATAATAGAATATAGATTGGACTATGCTTATTTATATAGATATAGAAAACTGAATGCAAGTACATAGGTTATAAATTAGTCAAAAAGAATTTGGGACTCGAAACTACATAAAAAAGTCCCAAAAAAAAAATGGAAATCAAATAGGTATAGAAAACAAAAAATTAGATGAAAGTGGATGTAATTGACTTTATTATACTAATTAGGGTCAAAGTCAGAAATCAAAAGTTTTTCACATATGCTGACATTTATAAGTAATAACAATAATAATAATATAGATTCTCCATGTAGATTTGAAATAAATATTCACTTGCAATTGTGAATCTCAAATAACCCAGATTTTGTGCTAAGTAATTGAACTTTTTTTGTATAAGCTAAAGCTCCTATTTTGATTCCTTTTTGTGGGCATTTCCCTTTGCGGATTATTTCCTTTTCATACATTATGATGTTGCCTGTTCTATGGCACAGAAGTTTGCCAACCACTTTTTCAGGGACTTTTAGATGAATTTCGTAGTTAATAAGATTGCTTTGACATTCATTCCAGTTTGTTTTTCTAATTCAGTGTTATTGATGTAAGTCGTCGTTGCTTGACAGACAAACACTAGTGTTGCTAGTTCGCTTGGAACATACTTCTTATCACAAATATCTGTGATCTTTTTGGACATGCTTAATGTGTACAGGTATTTTTCGGACTTTCCCTCGAGGATTCCTCCATACCAACACAACACTTCCAGCGACTTTTCATTGTAACCTTTCAAAAAAGATATTTTTGTAGCGAGACATCTATATCTTTAATGACTATTTTTCAGCAACTAACATGTTATCTAATGAACTTGTTTTACTATCAACAGAATGTATAGTGAGCTTATCTCAACCAGCATCACTCAAGGAGGGCCATATGCCTCTAAAACATCAATGGTGAAGCTTCTGCGGTATGATCAATGTCAACATTTTGTTTGAGTCCTTTTATATTGTGCCCTTTGCTCTCATTTCTTGGTGTTCCTTTTAAACAGCTCAGTGAAGAGGGAAACCCTTAAGCTCATTGAGACATTTCTAGATAAGGCTGAAGATCAACCTCAAATTGGCAAGCAATTTGTGCCCCCAATGATGGACGCTGTTCTTGGTGACTATGCAAGGAACGTCCCCGATGCTAGAGAATCAGAAGTCTTATCACTTTTCGCTACAATTATAAACAAGTATTGTGTTTGTTTGTTTTCATGTATCATTGATTTCCACTCGTATATGCTGCAATGAATGTAGGTGTTGATCCTCAACTCCTCTCAAACAGTTGGGGGGTTCTGCTACTGCTTGAATTTTTAACTGATTTGACTAATGGCCATCTTAATTCTGTGAGAGGTTCTCTCTGATCTGTCTATGCTGCCTTTTATTGGTGGCCACCTCACAGTTAATTTTTGACTGTCTATAATAGCTGAAATTANTAACTGATTTGACTAATGGCCATCTTAATTCTGTGAGAGGTTCTCTCTGATCTGTCTATGCTGACTTTTATTGGTGGCCACCTCACAGTTAATTTTTGACTGTCTATAATAGCTGAAATTAGAGGACATTCGCGCACCCCACGGCGAATGTTCTAAATGAGTTATTATATTTCTTCTTTACCGGCCTCTATTCTGTGTAGGTACAAGGGTGCTATGATAGAGGATGTGCCTCGCATATTCGAAGCTGTTTTCCAGTGTACCCTGGAGGTTTGTGAAAGCTGCTTTAGCCTTCTTTCAATTAGGGGAGGGTACTGGTAGTTGTTTATAATGTTGTAACTAATCCATATAGCAATGGATCAAAACTTTTTTCTTGCTTACAGTTTGGTGGACCCTGGTACAACATATTATTGGCAAATACTCCCTTTCATGCGCAATTGGTCTTTTTATGTTGTCCCCCAAATTATTCTGATATAAATATACAAATACCATGATGAATACCAGAAGAGGAAGACCAGTTGTCTTTGGAACAGCTGTTTAGTGAAATTGGGATTCCAAAATCCGTATTGTCACTTAATCATCATTGAATGAGGTAGGCGTATTGGCCTTATGTAATTGTCTATCACACTACCTCTAACAACTTAAACATTCAAAGAGGTTGATGGCTTAACATGGTATCAGGATAGGGGTTCTTGTATTTGAATCTTACCACTGCTCTGATAATTAAAAGCCTTCTATGTGCTTGTTTTAAAATCTAGTCCGAATAAAAAGGGCCATGTTGAAGTACATAAATATTTAAGTTACTCACTCTTTAATAACTTAAGATTTTAGAAAAGTTTGTGGTTTAACATTTGTTTTTTCTTGTAGCTTGTTGCATACACATAATTTAGTCTCCAAAGAATAGGATTTGACTTTTGTTCCATATGATAGTTGAGGATTGCAATACGATTTTTTAAGTACCTTCTAGTTTATCTTAACATTTTACTTGAAGGTGTCTTGATACTAGATACGGGCCACAAAGAAGTGACATTTCTTGAAATGTTTGTCTAGGCCCATCTTACATGGTTTATTGGTTGTATGAATTGTGTTGCTTATGCTATTTCCTTACTTTTAAGGGTTCTTGGTGCTAATGTTCTGCAATGTATGCATGAGTAATGTGTATACAGTGTTACATCAGGTTACTGTTGCATTCATGGTTACATAAAAACAACTTGGTTTTGGCAGTGATTTTTCATGCTCTATATATTTAGGTACATGTCTGAAACGGTCCTTTATTTCTTTGGTTTGATATGTCTAGTGCTTTACTACAGATGATTACAAAGAATTTTGAAGATTATCCAGAGCATCGCCTGAAGTTCTTTTCACTCCTTCGGGCCATTGCTACGCATTGTTTTCCAGCTTTGATCCGGTTGTCAAGTGAGGTTTGTGTTTATGATTTGCCCTCATTGTTTTTCCTTGTTTTAAACCTTTTCGTGGTTGATTATGTGGCACAGAGAGAGTCATATTTCCCAGTGGGATGTGAGCAAGTTCAATTTCTTGCACTTTTCTTTATTTTACTGACATTTTGAAGTTCCAACATGTTTATACTTATTTCTGATGGTACTCTCAATCCTCATCAGCAACTAAAGCTTGTTATGGATTCTATCATATGGGCTTTCCGGCACACTGAACGGAACATTGCTGAGACTGGGCTAAACCTTTTATTGGAGATGCTGAAGAACTTTCAGGTTTCCTTTGTCATGACCCATTCCACTCTTTTAAATATTTATGCCAAGGCCAGCTTCATCTTATTGTGGTTTACGTGGCAGGTTTCTGAGTTCTGTAATCAGTTCTACCGGAGTTACTTTCTGACAATTGAGCAAGAAATTTTTGCAGTTTTGACAGACACGTTTCATAAGCCTGGCTTCAAATTACATGTCTTGGTACTACAACACTTATTCTCTCAGGTAATGAATCTTCTTATAAGTTATACCTCCTCCTGGGCTCGCTCAGAACCATTTCATTACAGTTAATCTGGCACAATTTCAGGCGGAGTCTGGTCTGTTGACTGAGCCCTTGTGGGATCCATTAACAGTTCCTTATCCATATCCAAACAATGCTGTATTTGTTCGTGAGTACACCATAAAGCTTTTGGGTACATCGTTCCCGAACATGACAGGGAGTGAGGTATGGAGCTAAAAACTAGAGCAACATCTTTTCTCTTTCAGATACCACTTACTTTAATCTTTACAGGTGACCCAATTTGTTAATGGACTTGTTGAGTCAAGAGCTGATCTTTCTACATTCAAGAATCACATACGAGACTTTCTTGTGCAATCAAAAGAGTTCTCAGCTCAGGTAAACAATGCGAAGTTTTAGTGGTTATTTTGACCAACTTCTGTGGCTTATGCTTCATTCAGTTGAACACTTGCTGCAGCCGGCAACATAGCTGGGACTAAGTGGCTAATGGGGTAAAAACATTTTTTGTAGTTGACCCAAGCTAGTTGGGTCTTAGGTGGTTGTCTTTTAGGTGTTTCATTTTCCAGTGTAGTTAGCAACATAGTAGCATAGCTTTTAAGGAATAAAATCCTTATTACCAATCTCTACTTCAAGTACTGTTTGAATTACAGAAGGGAAAAAACAAAGGACCTTGTCTTGTGCTTGGAGTGGAATCTGTCATTAGTGACTTTTTTTTTTCTTTTTTTGTGTTGGGGGGAGATAGTTTGATTTGTGTGATGATTCCATTCCTCATCTTTCGATCTTGGTTTACTATTTGGCATTATTGTGTTTCATTGTTCTAACTCTTTCTGCAGGATAACAAGGATCTTTATGCAGAAGAAGCTGCTGCCCAGAGAGAAAGTGAGCGACAACGCATGCTTTCCATTCCAGGGCTTATTGCACCTAATGAGATACAAGATGAGATGGTTGACTCATAGATGGCTAATCTTGTTGCGGAAACTAATTTTGTGAATTCTAACCCTGGTGTTTGGTGTGGGCACCAGGAGTCAATTGCTATAGGTTTTTATCAAGGTAGGCACATCCGCAATTATTCCCAATTTTTATATCATGTTCTGCATTTTCTCATGTTTTGAACTGGTGAATCATGACGGTCTCGGTGCTGAGGCTTGGCTGCTGATGAAGCCATTGGCTGGGTGTAGAGTATTTAGATTATAGTGTAGGGATATAGTGTCTCATTGTACGAGTTCCTGAACTCAGCGTGGGATTGTAATCCAAGACGAAAGTTTGGACAAGCTGTTGAAATGACCTCCTTAGGTATGAGCGCATCAGAGTAGGTGTAATGTATACAACTTTGGCAGGCTGTGCAGACCTCCATTGTGTTTATTGGTAAAACATTTATGGATGCCAGGTATTGGTTGGGAGGCTTGATGTTCTTGTTCTTTTTTTGGTGGCTATTAGTGCCACCACCATGATGTGTTTTTATTTTTATTTTTATAAAGATTAGATTACCTTTGTCTTTTGGACAGATCTTGATTTGGAATAATTNCTTGATGTTCTTGTTCTTTTTTTGGTGGCTAATAGTGCCACCACCATGATGTGTTTTTTTTTTTTTTATAAAGATTAGATTACCTTTGTCTTTTGGACAGATCTTGATTTGGAATAATTTTTGTTCCTGTTTTGGGACAGTTTTGGTTATGAAAATGTTTATTTTGTGTACAACATTCAGCTTCGGATTGATTGTACCTTCCTCGTTCCAATGTAGTTGAAATTTTCTTTCTCCTAAAGAAGCTGGTGAATTATTAGTTTTAACCTTTGCCAGTGTAGCAAAGCAACTTGAGAATTAGAGATTTCCCATTCTGGGCTGACTAATCTGAACTCGGCCCGAAAAATGCAGTACTTGAGTTGAGATTTTCAACGTTTGTTGAGCTTGGACTTGGGAGGATTTATAAAATTCGGGCAACCTGTGCCAGCAGCCTTTGCTCTGATTGTTCAACACAGTAGCTTTTCCTCTCGTTCTTCATATAGATGTCCCAGATTCATCACTCCTATTATTGTCCTTTCTCTGTATCTTTCACTGGCAGAGCACAAATACTTGCAGATTTGCTTTCAATATTTTATTCCTACTTCACCGGGCAACTTGGTTTTTTCTTTGCTTTTGATGTGATTAATGAGTTTGAAGATTTAGAAAATCAAGAATTTGGGATTAAATTCCATCTGAAATTAGAGATTCTAATAATTGAGCAGCTCGGGTTGGGTTGAGTCTAGGGAGGGAATCTCTCAATCCGTCCAAATTGTATCCCATTGTACATTCCTATTTCTTTTTTTGTCCATTTTTTCTTTTTATTTTTGGGTAGTGATAAGAGTGAGAGAGAGGATGGGTTGTCCGAGTTGCATTTTGTAATAAGTTGAATGGAATCTGAAGGATATTTTTTGTTGTCCCTATAAATAATTATTATGCTGCATATGGGATGATGTCATATCACATCTTGCCTAGTCAAGTCAAAAAATAATTAAAAANGGTTTGAATATTTAGAAAATCAAGAATTTGGGATTAAATTCCATCTGAAATTAGAGATTCTAATAATTTGGGTCGGTGTTGAGCAGCTCGGGTTGGGTTGAGTCTAGGGAGGGAATCTCTCAATCCGTCCAAATTGTATCCCGTTGTACATTCCTATTTCTTTTTTTGTCCATTTTTTTTTTTTTTTTTGGCGTAGTGATAAGGGAGAGAGGATGGGTTGTCCGAATCATTTACGAGTTGCATTTTGTAATAAGTTGAATGGAATCTGAAGGATATTTTTTGTTGTTCCTATAAATAATTATTATGCTACATATGGGATGATGTCATATCACATCTTGCCTAGTCAAGTCAAAAAATAATTAAAAAATTAGAACGCTTTAGTTGAAAAATAATATAAAGGGTTCATACTACTAATCTACAAATATGTGCATAAATAGTAAAATATCAGTAGTTCATTTGTGAGGGAGGAGGGCACTAAGCCCAAATCAAAGATGACTTTAATTTATATTTCATGGTAATAATTTTTCATGGTAATGGTAAGATTTTACTATTTTTTAAATATTTAATAGTTATATTTTATTCTCTTTTAAATTTGGATTTGTTTTTTTATTTAAATTTTGTTTATCTTATTTTAAATTTGAGAGATATAATATCAAATTATACTTTTTATCAATTTTTTTACTCAAATTTGAGTTTTCATTGGAAATGATTATTAGCTCTACAATTTTTTTATAAAAAATAAAAAAGATGGATAGAATTTACACATAGTCTCTTAACAATATTAAGCTATGGGCATATTTAAAAAATTAGAAAGCTTTAGNTGTTTATCTTATTTTAAATTTGAGAGATATAATATCAAATTAAACTTTTTATCAATTTTTTTACTCAAATTTGGATAAGAATTTGAGTTTTCATTGGAAATGATTATTAGCTCTACTATTTTTTTATAAAAAATAAAAAAGATCGATAGAATTTACGCATAGTCTCTTAACAATATTAAGCTATGGGCATATTTAAAAAATTAGAAAGCTTTAGTTGAATAATAATAGAAAGGGTTCATACTAGTAATCTGCAAGTGTGTGTGTGTGTGTGAATAGTAAAATATATGTAATATCAGTAATTCATGTATGAAGGCACTAAAACTCAAATCAAAGGTGACTTTAATTTATACTTAAATTTTTAATGGTGAAATTTTATCATTTTTAAAAATCTAATGAACATATTTTATTCTTTTTTAAATTTTAGTTTGTCCTTATTTAAATTTAGTTTTTCTTCTTTTAAATTTAAATTTTTACATTGAAAAGGTATAATATCAAATCAAGTTTTTTATTCTTTTTTTTTAACTCAAATTTGGTGGGTAAGAGTTTGAGCTTCTATTGAAGATGGTTCTCTGCTCTGTCCCACTATTTTTTATAAAAAAAAATTGACAGAGTTTACACATAATCACTTAAAAATATTTATATAATTAAATTTTAGCTACGCTAAAATTTAAAAAACAAAGACTCAGAGAAGAGAAGCTACGCTACCCTCTCTCTCTCTCTCTCTCTCTCTGCAAAAGGAATCAGATTTATATTCGAGCATCGAAACTCTTTCCGTTTGACGGNATTGAAGATGGTTATCTGCTCTGTCCCACTATTTTTTATAAAAAAAAATTGACAGAGTTTACACATAATCANCTATTGAAGATGGTTCTCTGCTCTGTCCCACTATTTTTTATAAAAAAAAATTGACAGAGTTTACACATAATCACTTAAAAATATTTATATAATTAAATTTTAGCAAGCTAAAATTTAAAAAACAAAGACTCAGAGAAGAGAAGCTACGCTACCCTCTCTCTCTCTCTCTCTCTCTCTGCAAAAGGAATCAGATTTATATTCGAGCATCGAAACTCTTTCCGTTTGACGGAGGGACTGAAAGAAGCTCGTTTCCACCAGAATAGTTACAATAGCAGCAGCAGCACTACCTTGGTGATCGAGAGAGAGTGAGATCGGGAGAGAGGGAAGAAAATTCTCTGTTCAAAAGGCATCATGGGACAAGCCTTTCGCAAGCTCTTTGATACTTTCTTCGGCAACACGGAGATGAGGGTAATCTTTCTCCACACACACACACACATGTATGTTCATAAGTCCTTAATTTCTTCTTTTTATCGGTTTATATTTTTGAAAGGTGCCATTTCACCAATTAGGTTCGTACAAAATCTCTCTGCCTCAGCTAATTTTATGGCTTATATTTATAATTTGTTGCGGTGTTTTTGCGTTTGTGTGTGTGCCTGAGTGCTCGTCTTTGTTTGGGTTTTCGGTTTAATTTTATTTTAATTTTTAGGGATATGCATTTAACAAATTTAGGCGGTCCTAGCTTCACAATTGTTAATGGGTAAAATTAACTTCCTACCATCTTATATTGGAATACAAAACTACAAAGCCTAGTTTTAATTATACTAATAATGTGAACTGCTAGTTAATTCTGCAAGTTATTTTGTAGCTATATTTATTTATTATAAAAACTTGTTGTGAGACAAATTTAATCTGGTAATATATATGCGATAGCTGATTTGAATATAAGAGCTGGAATACTTACAGGTCATCTTTGTCCTCAGTACAGGTGATAGCTGCAAATGGGTTTCTCCTTCTTACTAGTTCCAGGTCATGGTTGAGTTGCAAGGTGTGGCGCCACCTTGATCTGAATTAGCCTAATTAATTAATTAATTGATGTTTTAGTNTTAGTTCCAGGTCATGTTTGAGTTGCAAAGTGTGGCGCCACCTTGATCTGAATTAGCCTAATTAATTAATTAATTGATGTTTTAGTCAATAATTTGGGTAGCCCGCAAGATAAAATAACATTACCTGGGATCAGAGCTGGCTTATTTCATTTGCATGGCTGGATCCTCCATTTAACACTAGAATACTTGGTTTGTGATTGCTTCTTTCTCTACCGCCTAAATGCCTCCTTTTTTCAAGCTTTCCACGCTCTTAGGCCTCTTAGGGAGCAACTTCCATGTAGAAGTTTTCGGTGGGCAGTATCTTATATGTCAATGATCTAATTAAAACAACATTGCTGCTTTCAAGATGACACAAGTTCTCGATGACACACATTGGTGTCTGATGATTTGTTGTTGCACTTCTTGAATAATGTTCAATTAATTCCACTTCTTTAAAGAAGTTCTGTTGTATATCATCTCCTTGCTCCTACTTGGCATTTGTTGCGTTTGTCTTGTTATTTTTGAAAAGACTGAAAACTGCATCCACTTCAGATGTTTGCAAAAATGGATTGGAACTATAGTGGCACATGGTGAGCTGAGTTGTATCCTATTAGTATGCATAGGATTCATCTTGTAGTCATGAAGTTTTGTTTTTCTTCATTTGGTTTATACCTATATGAAAGTAGTTTCCCAGACATGTTACATTCTCAGTCATTTATACAAAAAATAACAATTTAAAAATTAAAAAAGCTCTTTTAACTTTGCCTCTTTCTTTATTTGAACATGAACAAAATGGGAGAATCATCAACAATCATCCCCTTTTTTATAATTAACATTATGCAGTTATTTTCAACACATGGGATTGTTAGTATAGATGACACAAGGGTTGCAGTAGTAACATTTACTAGGGTGATTTGTTTGGAAAGAAAGAGAAGACTTGGTTATTTTGAATTGTACTTATTTCTAGTTTTACATCTATTTAGATCTCTCATTCTATTGCATCACCAAGCTCTCCGCGTCTCTGGAACCACTCCCCCTCTCCCTACAAAAAGAATAAAGCTGAAAATCCCTGTGACTGCTTGTTCCATCAAAGGTTATCTACTTTTCATAATAACTATTTGTTGTTGTTTTTGCTCCTTGCTCTCTGACGTCTGGAATTTCATATTGTTTTTCTTTCAACGACAATTACTACTTAAGTTCATTTTTTCTTATGTAGTTTATAATTTAATGCTTATCAATGGTATTGAATAAGCTAGAGGTGTTTCGGTTTAGCTAAATAAATAATTGAAAACTTTCTTATGTCACATAAAAGAATTCTTATGTGCTCTTTCCACATTTAGCTCTCCCTGTGTGCTTCTTTGGGGGAGATTTCACATTATTGTGGCTGTATGCCATATATAATCTCTTTTCAACTTTGATTTTCATGTTCGTTATTGTTATCCGAATTGCCACAGGTTGTGATGCTTGGCCTGGATGCAGCTGGCAAAACAACTATACTGTACAAGCTGCACATTGGAGAAGTTTTATCAACTGTCCCTACGATTGGTAGGTCATTTTTCCAATTACATAAAAAACCTAGGAGTAAACAAGTATGCTTTTACTATGCGGAAGACTTGAAGTTTTTACTTGGATATCAGATTAGTCTGTTTTCTGTTGTTTGTGTTTTGCGTTAGAGATGCTTCTACTATGACGTTTTTTGAATGTTTATTTCTTATTTAGTTTTTAATTGGACTTCTCTTATGAAAGCTTAGAACTTGTTCTAAAATAGGAACCTGGTCTATTTTTCCTTTTAAGAATAAATGGATCATTGTGGGTTCAACATTTAAATGCTCGGGGCCTCGGGCTCAATCACACGAAGTTGAGGCTTAGTAGGGTGAGTACACATTCCTTTTGCAATCATGACAATTGATAGTCTTGTATCCAATCGTCCCAGGCTCATTGAATGAATGGCACCATCACTAGGTAATGGAAAAACCAAATATACAGCTGTTTAGATATATGTGGAGCTATGCAAGATTCACAAATTGATGGTTTTGCTGCGTGTCTGTTGAGCGATGGGAGTGAAGTTGTCCAGGTAGCAATTAAGCTTTTGGCTTCTTTAAGGACAGGCATGAGCTAGATGCAAGCTTGTCGAGTGTCAACCAGAATATTTCTTTAGTTATCACTAGACTACAATGTCATGGCTGTGGCTCCTTGGTGCTCTTATTGTTATTTTATTTTTTTCATTTTTTCTCCCTGATGTTTTTTCAAATGCATGGGCAAGGGGGTAACCTTTCCTTTACCCCTAACCACTCCATTCCATGCCCTTCTATCTCACTTAAACCTTGTACCGACGCTTAATGAAGGAATATGAGAACGTCTGGAGCTGCACAGGTGGTGGTCACATAAATTATCTATGGCATATCTATTCTTCAATTAAAGACTCTTGCATTATATGTCTATTGCTCATTCTTGGTGAACCGGAAGCATGAAACAAGGTAAGTTTTAGAAGTATTAGAAGGGAGAAGTTTCAAGTGCTTGGCATTAATTTAATGTTTGTGCACTGAGGGTTTAAGTAAACCACAAAGCAGTTGTCATTTTGTCCACATCCATTTACAAGTTCACATATAAGTGCAATGCTTTGCGCTTTTCTTATATTCATATCTTTTGTTTCTTTTTTCTTTTAATAAGAAATTGAATGCAAATGTTGAATTCGATTTCACAGCTTTGTTTGATACTGGCTCCCTTTTCAGGTGCTTACTATATAGGTCTTCACCTATTATTTGGTGGCCCAAGACTTAATGAAATTTTCAAATGTTTGATCTTTTCTGCGTACATGTAGGTTTCAATGTGGAGAAAGTTCAGTATAAGAATGTGATCTTCACGGTGTGGGATGTGGGTGGGCAAGAGAAACTGAGGCCTCTGTGGAGGCATTATTTTAATAACACGGATGGACTGGTAATGATTGGTCATTGCAGTCATATATTGCTGGATGTTGTTCTTGACGTTCATTTTCTCCTTGTTGGTTGCATTGTTTCTGTTTTCATTTAGGCGGTTTAGCTGGATAGGCCCTTTAGCTATTAGTATTTATCATTGGCCATGTCAATGTGCAGTAGCACAGAACTATAATTGGTGCTCACAATGCGGTTTCTAAACTCCGCCAGTCCATGTCTTTTTGTTGATCTTTTTGTTTTTTATCATTGCAGATTTATGTTGTTGACTCTTTGGATCGAGAGAGGATTGGAAAAGCAAAGGCAGAGTTTCAGGTTTTATATTTTAGATGGATAGATGGAAATTGTCATTACCTCAAGTACTCAAGTCGGGGGCATTGTTTTCAGTTTACCTACTTAATTTTGTTTCAGGCCATCATCAGAGATCCATTTATGCTTAACAGTGTCATCTTGGTGTTTGCCAACAAGCAGGACATGGTATGTTGCATTAAGGATTTCTAATTGTTTGGCTAAGCATATCAATGAATAAGTATTTGTTATCTGGAGAAAAAGAGCAAATTGGCAAATTGACTTGTTTAACATGTATTTCATGGTTGCTTGAAACACCACGTCTATAAAACAGAATATATTAATGGTATTCTATTATTTTGGTAATTTTTTTCCGTGATTAAGGGGTAATAATTTCAATGAAAAATATGAGAGCATACACCAAGACATTTAATAAAAGGGTAGAGAGCCCAATCAAGGTTAAAAGAGTCTGAGGAAGCTTGCTTGGATAGCTTATGAGTTTCCTCAATGTCAATTCTCGACCCTCAATTCAATGGGGGGAAAAAGCTTGCTGGCGAAGGATTTAATGTCGTTAATCAGCAATTGATCTTGCAATGAAGGTTATTGCTGAACCTTAATATGCAAAACGGAGCTCAGGTGCAGTGATAGAACATTACTTCATATGATTTAGTAGCTGCCCAGAGAGAGACTAAACATGATGCCATAACTTCAGCTTGGGTCGTATTCTGAACAAGAATCAGAACTATAGCATTATTTCTAACACCTAGTCTATAACAACAAAGCCTACTGCTGCCAGCTTTACATGAATTCTGGGCTCCATCCATGGTGATGCATAACTCCCCAATATTGTGTTTCTCACGAGCTCGACAGTAAGCCCGTTAAGATGATCTCCTCCGAAACTTGCCTAAAAATCAACTCCACTCCTTAAAGGTGGATGTTTGGCTGATGCTCTTTGCTCAAGAGTTCCCTCTAATATGTAAACTAGTTCAAGTGGCTCCTTGCAGCAGAGATAATTACTCTGGGAGTAAAATTCCACCATGAAATCCATCCTTGTTTCTTTCACTCAAATGGCCCACAGAAGAGTCACAGCAGCCATTATGGCGTCCTTCTCAAGACCCTGCTTGTCCTTGTGTCAAAGCAACTAATGCTCCAGCCACATGGGAAAACAAATAACTTGACCTTTATGAAATCCAAGAGATTCGAGCTCTAAACCATACTTTTCGANGCCATTATGGCGTCCTTCTCAAGACCCTGTTTGTCCTTGCATCAAAGCAACTAATGCTTTATAAAATAAATAACTTGACCTTTATGAAATCCAAGAGATTCGAGCTCTAAACCATACTTTTCGAACCAAGAAATGAACAAGGAAAATATGGTCGAGAGTCTTAGTAGGTGCATTGCATTTCTTAGTCTCAGAACAAGGTTCACTCTTACTGGAAGGAACCTGTAAGACTTCTCCTTTAGGAAATTTTGCTTTTCTGTGGAATTNCCAGATAGTATCAACTCATTTCTTAGTCTCAGAACAAGGTTCACTCTTACTGGAAGGAACCTGTAAGACTTCTCCTTTAGGAAATTTTGCTTTTCTGTGGAATTCTTGCAAAATTAGACCCTTAGTTATATGGTTCCTATGAGTCGCTTCCCTAATAGCTATCTTTTAAGGCATTTGCGCAAGACCAAGGCAAGGCCATCAGGGCAAATTGAAAGCTCCAATGCAAATACATTGTTATCTTTGTCATGTGCTTTATATTGAAATGTTGCTGTACCATGTCATGGTCTTTTAGAATTTTGGGTGTAAGCATGCATAATAATGCTGAACCTATTCCATGTTTATGTTCCTGCAATATAGATTTAGTCCGGAGAGACCATGTANCCATGGTCTTTTAGAATTTCGGGTGTAAGCATGCATAATAATGCCGAACCTATTCCATGTTTATGTTCCTGCAATATAGATTTAGTCCGGAGAGACCATGTATAGCATATTCAGTAAACACAGGTGGTATGATGGAAGCAACCACATGCAACATGTGCTATTATGCTATTTTTTACTTTGGATGACATCAGATATGTTTGAGTTTCTAAGAATCTACTAGAAAGGAAGTCACACAATGGCAATGTCAGTAGGTCCAAAATCTTGCATTTTAATAAACATCTATCGAATCACTATCCTTTCTTCATAAGGTTCCTTAAACAAGTGAATCAATCTTGATCAGCAGATTCACAGGGAACACTGAATAATTGGTTCATTCTTTTTTCTTTGGGAATTAACAGGTGATACCGTATTTGTCTTGTCTACATTATTCATATATACAGTTTTGAATTGCCTTCATGCTATGTGTTTGGCCTATACCTTGTAGATAGTGAAGTACGCAGAATTTAATTGATACTGTTTCACTTGCACAATTCTGTTCTACTGTTCATTGGCTGCTTGTATAAAACATGCATTAGCCAGACAAGTCCTTGGATGAAAATTTCAACTCAATTACTGCATTCTTCTTTTTCGTTCAGAAAGGAGCAATGACACCTATGGAAGTGTGTGAAGGTCTAGGTCTATATGATCTTAAGAACAGAAAATGGCACATACAAGGTACCTGTGCTCTTAGAGGGGATGGCCTTTACGAAGGCTTGGACTGGTTAGCTAGCACTCTGAAGGAGTTAAAAGCCAGTGGATATTCTTCTGTGGGCACATCATCCTTCTGATTAACCAGGTGGCGATTCTTGACCCTGATCCTTCTTTCACTGAGAAATCAGCAAGCTATTCAGTTCGCATTGATTGATTTGTTATTGATTCTTTCTACAGGTTTACTGTATACCTCAAGTGTTGTCTGATGAGGAAAGATGAACACTAAGCCGCCTACAAAACTGTTGGAAATGCCTGTAATTTAGGATAATTTTTTCCTTCCGGATATCTGTTTCTAAAGCGAATGAAGTTGGTTAGGTGCTGACTCCTGGGCTTGATTGGCTTTTTGATCTGTGACTATTGTACATTGGAACATGGTCCCAACCATTTGGGATTATGTAGATGGTAGGTATTTGTGTCTCGAAATATAGTACTCTTGAAATATATAGCTCTACAAAAAAGTGGGTGAGTAGATTTCTCTCTCTCTCTCTCTCATACGTGTATGAAAACTGCAAATTTGAAAGCTATCATTCTCAGCTGTGTATGTTGCTAACCTGTTACAAAATTTATGTTTAGGTGGTGAAACCCAATTTGCGCTGGGGCTTCAGCCCCATATTCTGTCTGCAAATTCAACTTTAATCATATCTTCTTTAGGAAACAAACTCCAGCTTTACATTGATAGTGATCCCCCTCTGTAGAAGGTATGCACATGGCTATTGTAACGGTAGGAAACGACTAAACTATGTAAAAGTTATAATGTTTTAAGGTCGATTCATAATTTTTTGGGGAGTTTTGAGTTACAATTTAAAAAGTCATGATCCATCATAAAATATTATGATTGATCACACCAAATATAACTTTAATAGGTAAAATTATATTTTTTTGAGGGTGAATTTATTTTTTATTGAGTTAATTCAAAATCAATACGCTACTGTGATCAATTACAAATAATTGTAACTTCACCATTAAAAAATAATTTTCAATATTTATCGATTTTTTTGGTACCCCGAGTTATTTCCATATTGGTATGGTAGTGTATACGTTTTTTTTTTTTTTTTAGTTTAACGTATAGAGTGTTCAAGTCAATTTACGCGTATCTTGATTAATTTTCTATTATGTTAGATTAAAGGTAATTGATCTACTCTATAAATTAAGGTATTTACTGTTGTCAATGATGGGTTTTAACGTGTACCGTACTAATGCATACATGCATATTCCAAAGACTACCCCTGCACGAAACGGAAATTACAAAATTACTTTTTAACGACTTAAACAAATTAACTGCCACAAAACCTAGACCTCTCCTACCCGCCACACAATCTACACCGTTAAAATTACACGAACGTCACACTACATTCCCAACCACACCGATTATATACACAATCTGTCATTTATTCTCAGCAACATGTGAGATCTGATTCTCTACAAACGTCCGGACATGTCTTCATGCCAAACATCCACGATGTTTGGTCACAAAACCTCATTACTCTTCTTCTGTAAAAACCCTCAATTTCTCTACGATTTCAATCGGAATCTTCGTAATTCGACGACATTCAGATGTGTTTTGGATCAAATTGTGCCCAAATTCGCGGTTTCATCGTCACTAAGCTCAGTGTTCACCTCGGGGAATGTTATTGCTGCGGCTGGTTCTGGGACAGTTCATGGAGCGGTGACGTCGGCGATAACACAGGTGGCGGTCACTGCCGTGGCGATTGCCTCCGGGGCTTGTCTTTCCACCAAGGTCGATTTTTTGTGGCCTAAAGTGGAGGAGCAACCTGGTATCCTAATGTTAGCTTTGTTGCTTCTCGAATTAAAACCTCTTTTTTTTTTTGTGTGTGTGTTGGAGTTTTCAAAGCATTAGTGTTTCAGGAAGCAACTTTCATGATCAATGTTTGATAATGGATACACATTTTAATTTCAAAGTTCAAAGCTCGTACTTGTGCAGATATTGACTTTGGAAATGATAACTAGTGCCACTCATGACCTGGTAATACTAGTGTGAAGTGACTTTTGCTAGTTTAAGCCACTCGATGCATGTTAGCACTTTAAGTTTATCACTGATCGTGTATTACCCGATATTAAGTATAATCTCGTACCCATTGAACAAAAGGCTAGTGNAGTGTATACGTTTTTTTTTTTTTTTTAGTTTAACGTATAGAGTGTTCAAGTCAATTTACGCGTATCTTGATTAATTTTCTATTATGTTAGATTAAAGGTAATTGATCTACTCTATAAATTAAGGTATTTACTGTTGTCAATGATGGGTTTTAACGTGTACCGTACTAATGCATACATGCATATTCCAAAGACTACCCCTGCACGAAACGGAAATTACAAAATTACTTTTTAACGACTTAAACAAATTAACTGCCACAAAACCTAGACCTCTCCTACCCGCCACACAATCTACACCGTTAAAATTACACGAACGTCACACTACATTCCCAACCACACCGATTATATACACAATCTGTCATTTATTCTCAGCAACATGTGAGATCTGTTTCTCTACAAACGTCCGGACATGTCTTCATGCCAAACATCCACGATGTTTGGTCACAAAACCTCATTACTCTTCTTCTGTAAAAACCCTCAATTTCTCTACGATTTCAATCGGAATCTTCGTAATTCGACGACATTCAGATGTGTTTTGGATCAAATTGTGCCCAAATTCGCGGTTTCATCGTCACTAAGCTCAGTGTTCACCTCGGGGAATGTTATTGCTGCGGCTGGTTCTGGGACAGTTCATGGAGCGGTGACGTCGGCGATAACACAGGTGGCGGTCACTGCCGTGGCGATTGCCTCCGGGGCTTGTCTTTCCACCAAGGTCGATTTTTTGTGGCCTAAAGTGGAGGAGCAACCTGGTATCCTAATGTTAGCTTTGTTGCTTCTCGAATTAAAACCTCTTTTTTTTTTTGTGTGTGTGTTGGAGTTTTCAAAGCATTAGTGTTTCAGGAAGCAACTTTCATGATCAATGTTTGATAATGGATACACATTTTAATTTCAAAGTTCAAAGCTCGTACTTGTGCAGATATTGACTTTGGAAATGATAACTAGTGCCACTCATGACCTGGTAATACTAGTGTGAAGTGACTTTTGCTAGTTTAAGCCACTCGATGCATGTTAGCACTTTAAGTTTATCACTGATCGTGTATTACCCGATATTAAGTATAATCTCGTACCCATTGAACAAAAGGCTAGTGTGTAGAGTGGGTCTCGGAGAGGTAAGTGGTATAGCAGTTCTCAGAGAGGAAGTGATAGGAAGTTTTGTCTCTAATTAAGTATGAGGAGAAAGGAATAAATTTTATCAGGGAAAGTGAAGGTTCATAAGCATAGACATGAACTATTTTTACTTGACTGTGCAGTAGATTCCACCCAGAAACATCCAAAACTTAAACCTTATACTATAGCTAATGCATATAGCTACAATGACAAAGGTACATCACATATCCCAGATACATATTCTTAGTTTAATTTTTTTAAAAATAAATTGTTAAATTACAACTTGACTTTGATTGCAAATTGATTACATTAGTAAATGCAGGTTCTCTTATACTGGATGGAGTAGATGTCACTGGGCATCCCATATTTAATGATGCAAAGGTTTACCAACTCCGTTTACAACAATTTACATCCCTATAGTTGTCTGCCCTTGTAACACTAGGTTCTGGTGGTTCGGGAAAAAACAATGATACTAAGGTTCTAAAAACTGTGAATTCAGGTACAAAAAGCAATCTCATTTGCAAGGAAAGCTCACCATGGCCAGTTACGAAAGACTGGAGACCCTTACTTGACACACTGTATTCACACCGGAAAAATCTTAGCTGCGTTGGTTCCATCAACTGGGAAACGAGTATGCAATCCTCCTCCCTGTTGGTGTGGTTGAATTTTGTGGCAACTTCCTCGATGCGTTGTTTTAAATTTTCAATTACATTTATAAATCCTATACATTAAAAAGACAAATTCAAGTTCACCAGTAATATCCTGCAAAGGCAGGGTTATTTGTCTCCATCTCCAACTTTTATTCATATAATTGGCAATGGCAGCATATGCACATGTCAATTCCATATAGTTCATTTTGTAAATTCAATGTTTACTGTAGGCTGTCGATACTGTCGTTGCTGGGATTCTCCATGATGTGATTGATGATACATGTGAAACTTTGGACAGCATAGAGAGAGAGTTTGACGATGACATAGCAAAGTTGGTTGCTGGTGTTTCCAGGTTAAGTAATATAAATCAGGTAAAGATCAGCATTATATTTTTAATATAAAGTTCAACCTGGCCTTATTGCTTGAAGTGAAAAACTGAAATGGTAGGCTTAGTTCTTTAGTAACTCACATTTCAGATTTTATGTGAAATTCGTACCTAGCCTTAAAGAGATATACCTTTTTAGTTTTCACACAAGGCCTGGAATTTCATGCTTATAACGGAACAGATAGGAGAAAATTCTCAAGCTCTGTAAATCTGAAAATTATATCCTTCTATTGTACTGGTTATCTTTCTACCCAAGGGCCTTCCAGCTCCTTAGGTTGTACTGCAATGATGGCTGTCCGATCTGGCATTTAATTTTCATTTAGGTTTTGCATGTTTGTAAGTCTTAAACTTGACCCCCTACCCTCCCCCTTTTTCTTCCTCTTCATGCACATTTTGTATCATTCCAGTTTTTCTCAACGGATAGTATGTTCTGCAGCTGTTACGGAGACACCGCAGGATGAATGTAAATCAGGCTACCCTTGGCCAAGATGAGGTAGGTGACTTCTAAATAAAGTTGTGTCTGAATGGTAGAAATCGAAGATATTGCTAATATTCGCTGATCACGTATGATACAGAATGAAGTTTCTCAAGTGGTGTGTAATGATGTAGGAATTTAGAATGATGTGAATCCTCCTCTATTAGTTGTACTAAAAATGATTGACTTGTAATAGTTATGTTAATGGAGTACTGAATATGTATTTGAAGATAATATGATTTAATCCCTTGCTGGGCTCTTTGGATGAATTTAACTTTCCTCCTTGATCAGTCACTTTTTCTGTATGGCTTCTAATGATGGTGATTGGTGGTCACATGTAACATCATATGTATAAGTTGCTACTGTCTGGGATACTCATCATATTGGAAAATGTATTCATAAAACTGATTTCTAGTCGACATAGGATAAGAATAGAGTGCAATTCAGTTTGCCGTGCTTCAACTCTGTACTGAATTGCATAGATAAATATATGATCTTTCTCTCCACTCGGCATGACTCATTTGCCCAGCAAAATTGATTCCATTCATTATTTTATGTGGTCTTTCAATAAGTGTGATTTTTCTACGGAAATAAATTGAAGGAGAATCCATTTACTATTTAGTGTACTTCCTTTTGCACTACAAACTGTGGTGCTAGAAGAAGAATTATCCCGATTTATTTCTCATACAAGATCAGAATATGGATCAATATTTATCCCCAGTACCTTTTTTTATATCTCATAGTTTACGTTGTCCATTCTAGGCAAATAATTTACGAGTGATGCTGCTGGGCATGGTTGATGATCCACGTGTGGTCCTCATCAAGCTTGCAGATCGTCTTCATAACATGAGAACCATGTACCAACAGTGTACTTATTTATTTTCTGTAATGAGATTGTTAAAGTATAATTTTTTGTAGTTAATTCTAATATTTAATTAACTTGGAATTATTATTATATATATATATATATCTTCTTCTCTCAAGTCCTTTCAAATTATCATGGAAGCTTGGTCATATTTTTTTGATAGGAAACACAACTTCTTGTATTAAAAATAAATAAAAGTTCAGTTACATAAAAAGTGGTTGGATATAGGAAGCTTGGCCATATTCTTCATATATTTTGCGAAATCTACCAGTAAGCTGCTAATATTTATCATGCTGTTCTTACTCCTAAAACTTTTCTTGCAGCTATGCTTTGCCCTCAGCCAAAGCCCAAGCTGTTGCAGATGAAACATTACTTATTTGGTGCTCACTTGCTTCCAGATTGGGTCTGTGGCCCCTAAAAGCTGAACTTGAAGATTTGTGTTTTGCTGTTCTTCAGGTATGCTCGTTACATTCCATTTGATGTTCGTAGTTCATTCACATAGCTATATACAGGGTTCATGCCAAATTTGTTTCAGTATCACTACCATGCATTAAAGTCGCAGGTGCTTGATTCATAATACTAGAGCTTATATGCCTTCATCGCTTACGTTTGCTATTTGCAGTTGATAATTGGATCAAATCTTTGAATTTTATGTTGATGCTCAAAAACTAAATGATACATCTATATAGTAATATTTCCACACCATATGCAGCCTCAAATGTTTCGCCGCATGCGAACTGAACTGGCTTCAATGTGGAGCCCCTCCAACAGGGCAAGCAATCTGAGAAGAGTATCAGCCAAAACCAGTTTGTTTGCACAATTGAATGGAAAAGACTTAGGTTCTGAATGTGAAGTGTCCACAGCAATGGATGAGGAAGACATAAGCATGAAGGTAATGATACTGGTTGGAAATTTCTTGCATCTCAATCCATTGTATGTTTTTTTAAGAATTTGCAGGTCAAATTAGTAGATGACGGGGATCAAGTTAAGCACTTTTAGTTCCTATTCTGTTTTAACTTCTTTTTTGCATTCCCTATAGCTACAGGATTGTTTGTAGTGGTAAGGTTGTATGCATCTAACCCTCCTCATACCTTGCAATGGTGGGAGCCTCGTGCAGGGCCGCACTTTTATTGTTAATGTGATCATCAAATGGGAGAACTGAGCACTTTCAATTATTCTCATTTCGCAGGATCTTTTGCAGGCTGTACTTCCATTTTATGTGTTACTAGATCGTAGAAAGCGCATTAAGTTTTCTGAAAGATTTGGGGCAGGGTCAAAGACTCAAAAAAAACCAAAGGTTGTGAATGACACTGGCATTGCTTTAGCATCTCTCATTGCTTGTGAGGAAGCGCTCGAGCGGGAGTTATTCATATCAACTTCGTGCGTTCTGCTTATCCATAATTGTTAATTAGTTTTTATATATTTCGTTCAGAACATGTGGAAGCAGTTGTTACAATTTGTCCACAGCTAATGCGTGCTGACTTTTTATCTGCTATATGTTTGCAGCTATGTTCCAGGGATGGAAGTAACTTTATCCGGCCGCCCAAAAAACTTGTATAGTATTTATAGTAAGGTAAGGATGACATGCTACTTTTTTTAACACATTGCACACGTGTAAGCAAAAGTATGTGAGACTTCCCAAAGATACTGTATGATAGTCAAAATTCTGGATGGTATACAGTTGTGCTATGAAGGATCATCATGTCAAAGAGGATAAGAACATCATAATCCTTGTATAGAACTTAAAATTCCGAGTGAGAAGCATAAGTCATGAAACTTTTGAAGTTTTTCCGGTGATGGTTTCACATTGTTGGGATGTGAAAACCTGTCTCTCTGACTTTTGTTGGGCATTGCATGTTTTCTAATATTTGCGACTACTATGTTGCTTTATTGCTAGAGTTTGCCATGTACAATTCTTCTTCCCAATAATTGTGATAAAGTATTCTGTGTGCGTGCATGTCTGTTGTTTTTTTAACTTTTCTGCTCTCAATTTTTATATCGACAAGTCTTCTGGTCTCATTGAATTTAAATTTTGTCGATAAGCTCCAACGGGAACTCATGTAAGTTGTCTGAAAGTTTTTGTTTTTATTTTCACGTATCACAGATGAAACGAAAAGATGTGGGTATCAATAAAGTGTATGATGCCCGTGCGTTGAGGGTAATTGTTGGAGATAAGAATGGGACTTTACATGGACAGGCAGTTCAGTGTTGTTACAGTCTTCTCAACATTGTCCACAGGTTAATGGATTTAAAATTCGCAAATACCTGTGCTTGTCATGCATGCAGTTCAATTAGATTTAGATGGTGCAGGGTTGTTTCAGTGTGTTTTTTTTTTTCCATTGCCGAGTTATGATGTTCATCAGAAATAGGCCTTTATTCGATATTTAGAAAGAGCACTTCACAATTTATCATTAAGCATAGTAACTGTACTACATCAGCTATGATCCTATTTTCATCCAATGCACTAATTGTAGCCGGAATTTGGCTGATGTGTCCTTTGATTCTGTGCAGGCTTTGGACCCCTATTGATGGAGAATTTGATGATTACATCGTTAATCCAAAACCAAGTGGATATCAGGTTGTAATTCAGTTTCTATTTTCTCATAATAAGTATTCCATTTGGTCATATGTAAATGCCTATATTTGATACTAGATGTAGTGTGTAAATGATTTAGGTTTCAATTTATGACTCTTTATTTCTTCCCTTAAAAAGATTTGGTAACTTTTTACAATATTCAGACTATTGCACCTTATTTTGTGATAGCAGTCACAGTTTTTTGCTGCCACAACACATATAAATGGATAGTTTACTTTGGGACTTGTAATTTGTGGAAAACTCTCCTGTCTTTACTAACTCTCAGTAACTACCTGAATGGGATTGAGGCTATAATTAAGCTTGCTTGGAGGAGATTACATAGAAGTTCTTTATTCATCATTCAATCTTCTTAGATCTGCAAGACTGCAGTGTCACAATTGTTTCATAATTTTCTTTTAACTTTTGAAGGGATAGATGTTTGTGAACTACATAGATATATGTATAGCCATACGCCTTTTATTTTTAAATTTTGGAAGGATAGATGTTTCTGAACTACATGGATATATGTAAATCTATATGCCTTTCGTCCACCTTTGCTGACTTCTCTCCACACCCTAACTTTTCTTTCCTAATGTCAGTCTTTGCACACTGCAGTACTAGGCCCTGACAATTCACCTTTGGAAGTTCAAATAAGAACACAGGTATTACATAAATTCCTATCATGCAATCTGATCAATGACACTCCTATATCCTTTCGTGATAGCTCAAAGTATTAGTGATCTCTCCTTTGTAGAGGATGCACGAGTATGCTGAACATGGCCTTGCCGCACATTGGCTTTACAAAGAAACTGAAAACAAGTTGCCTTCCAAGACAAGCGTGGTTGATTCTGAAGTAATTCCATCCTCATATTTCTCCAATGAAATGGGTGCTCAAAGTTCGATTGGAGATGATATCTTTCAGAAGTATGGTTCTCTAAAAGCAGGGCATCCAGTCCTCAGAGTGGAAGGAAGTCACTTACTAGCAGCAGTTATTGTCAGGTTGTTTCTTCACTAAATTATCTGCAATTCATGACGCTGTAACTTTACTAACTTGTGGATGAAACTTGATTTCCAGGTTAGATAAGGGTGGACGAGAATTGCTTGTTGCTGTGAGCTTTGGACTGGCAGCTTCTGAAGCAGTAGCCGACAGAAGGTCTTCTTACCAAATAATACGATGGGAAGCTTATGCAAGGTTATTCAAAAAGGTCAAATTCTATTAGTATTTCGTTTCCAATTTAATGAGAGTAAGCTTTATCACTTAAAAAGGTCCAAAGCTTTTTAAAGTATAAGGGAATACTTCATCCAGATGTCAGTTTTCTCAAACCTCAAAAAATGAAGATCCTCAATTGAAACTTAATCCCTTTAGAGGTTTTAGTAGAACAACTACTTTAGTTTCATTTACCAATTTTTCAAGATAGTTGATATGCATCCCTTGCACATTATTTTCATGTAGCCTTGGAAGGCATTATTTGTGCATATCATGCACATGCACAGGCCTATTTCTCCCTTCTATATTGTTATATCACCAACAATATGCACATTTCTGTATTGGGTCTCCATTATTTGGCGGTCCCTTAATCCAATTTCGAGCCAAATCCATAGACTGTATGGTTTCTGCTACTTTTTCCTTCTGAGTATTATTTGAACCTTGAGGGCTATTGTGTGTTATTTTTTGCGCTGATTGATTACTATTGCATGTGGATGATTTATTTCTGGACTAGATGCCAAATGTATATTTCAATATATGTGTGGATGGTGGGCCCTAGATAAACCTTGTATTCCATAAATAGTTGGACAAGTTATACCTTGAAAACAATATGTTTCGTCTACTTCTCTTCGGATTCTCAAGGTAGGGTTGTTTGGACAATATTTACTTGNCATGTGTGGATGGTGGGCCCTAGATAAACCTTGTATTCCATAAATAGTTGGACAAGTTATACCTTGAAAACAATATATTTCGTCTACTTCTCTTCGGATTCTCAAGGTAGGGTTGTTTGGACAATATTTACTTGGTTTTGTTATAAACACATCATGTGGATGCCTAATTGAGTGTTTGAATGTTACCTAGATCGTGGGTCGATTTGGTATATAGTACTGGTACAGGTACGTGGGACGATGATTTCTTAGTATGTAGCGGAATGAGGGTAGACTTAGTTGGTACTCTATTTTGGGCGCATTTTTCTTTGTGACTTTCATCCAGATCACTTTCTTTATTATATGAAATTATTTACGTAGTTAACTATTTTTTGTTTTATATTTATGATAAAGAGTTACAAAGCAAATCATAATCCAAAACAAACTAGTGGCTAATGGTTGTAAATAATAGAAGCTAGTGGTTGCACATTTATGTTCCGAGAAAAAAATTGAATCACAACAAATCAAAATATAAGTTTAAGATTATCAAATAGAGAAATCACCATTGAGAGTTCTGGATCATCGGTTGGTTTGTGGTTTTAGTTACAATTTGGGGTGGAAAATTCTGGCGGTTTGGATCGCGAACCCACCCCATNATGGCAGCCTCCTCCAAAACATTTTCTGTAAGGAAGAAGACAGAAAATCACACACACCTATTAGCTTGCGACGTGTTTGTGGATTTGGGTTGTTGTAATACTTTTTTTCCAACAATAGATCACTCGTCATCCAATGAATCTACTTTAATACACNATTTTGGGATGCGTGACCTGAATTTGTGGGAGGCATGGGGTATCTACAACCGGTAACTATGTGTTTGACTGCTTATAGATAATCATGTGATGCCTGTTATGGGAAATATCTAATAAGATGAAACCAGTACCTTGTAATCAAAAAGAATGACGTACAAGTTTGATCAAATCCTACTTGATTTGCCGAGCAAAAATCTCTGAGGCCATTGCGTAAGTGCTCCCATGCATCCATTTATTCTTCAGTGAAGCCTACCTTGGGGCAACATCTATTATAGTGGGCTATTACTGTTCTTGTAGTGACTGTCCAACCTCTTTACAGGTGTCTGATGAGTGGTGGTGTGAACCAGGACATGGTGATTGGTGTACTTGCCTAGAAAGATATACACTTTGTCGAGATGGTATCTACCACAAAGTATGTGCAATATATTTTCTTCTTAAATTCCTTTTATCATTGCTATTCAGGGGTAATTTTTAAACTTCCACTTCAGAGAGACTGCATAACCTTCTTTTTTTTTTTTTTTGGGATGGCGGTATCCTATGTTATTAATAGAGACCTAATTGGTTATCCATTTTTCCTCGTTATTCAGTCTCAAGATTGAGGATCATAAAAAAGAAGTAATGTCGTGGAACTATCTTTGTCCCAAATGGTGGGGCTTAAAATTGATCAGGCAGCTGATCAGATTATATGATGAGCCAAGCTTGATCAAAACTATATTCTCGTTTGAAATCCTAACCAAGTGTGAGCAATGTGTTACTCGTCTCGCTAGGTTCGTGAGCCTTAGCCTTAGATGGCATTAACTTAGCTATGACTTTTTAAGTTGAGAACTTTCTAAAAGGACGTGAATGAAAAGGTTAGGGTTGCACAGATTGAGGGGAGTGACATTCCCGGTCAATACTTCAATCTGTAACATACAAAGAGAACAGATCAAAGCATCACTAGAATTGTTTTTTTAAATCCACGATACATTCTTTTTCAGCTTGTTATTGTATTTTTATAGTATCCGGGGTCTGGTATTGGTCAAATTTGTGTGACAAACGTTGTTTGGCTTTTGAGTTATAAAGCAAGCTCAGAGTAAAAGGAACAAATTTGAACCAGAGACAATGCTTGAGCCGAGTCTTAAACTTGGGTTTGAGCTCACAACTGAGATCGTACATTTGCCATGCTGAGATGAACTACTCCTGAGCATGAGATCTAGCAACCAAGCCGTATGGTAGCCAAGAGACCAACCAACCAAAGATTCCTGAATCCGAGGACAAGGGGATGAGGCAAGGTTGAGATGCCAAGATAATGTGCATAGTCTCATATTGGAATTAGCTATTTATGTGATAGCTTTGGTGACATGTTTTAAAGCCTTAAGAGGTGACCAAAAGCAGATAATATTTTGATGGTGGGGTCAGGGTGTTACAACCTGGCTTGAGCAGGAACTCCAAATGTACACTGTACACTAGTGCCCTAGCCTAGCTTGAACAGCATTTAGCCTAAGCCTAACCGAAGCAAGCTTGAGAAACTATCTATTCAGCTCAAGCCAACATTTTTAGCTTACAAACTAATTTTAAAAAAGCACACGTGACACATCCCCTATTGGTATAGTGAGCTCGTTATGATAAAAAATTATAATAACTTACATACGTAAAACCTAGGCATACCTTTGATAAAAACAAGCTTAACAGGTCCACGGGCACCTTGCTTTGCAAAGAAAGAGCAGTTTGAAAAGTTTTGGTTAGCAATTAGTTGGTCCACTGTTGGCATTTTGTCTCACTTTTGTTGTCTGAATATAGTTAGACGATAAGACACACATATTCTCACTTGTTGGGCTTGCTTTGAGAAACTTCGTAAAGAATTACATTGCCGTGCAGCAAGACCAATTTCAGCGCCTATTGCCAACCTTCATCCAAGTAATTGACTTGACAGAACAGGAGGAAACTGAATACTGGGATGTTATGTCTGCTGTTTTCGAGGGCAAACAGATTGCTTCAGTTACGTCTGACACAAGCTGCTTTGAGAGGCCTAGCTTGGACTCAGTTACTTCAACTTCTGTGGATACAGGCATCAATAACAAGGTTTGTTTACAGTTATCCATCCTAGATTGTACATTCATCTAATTACTTGTTGGAAACTTGTTTAAACCAGCCTAATGTACAGGAGATATGCTTCAGGCTTGCATTACAAACACCCCGCGCTAGCCATTATCACATGACGTTAATTGGTTGCAACTGAAGCATGTTAAAAACTCAGCAAACCATGTGAAAGATATGTCATTATGCAGCTTGGTTTTAATAATGTCTTGTCCGAATTACAATTCTATCATGGCATGATAAATTGGACTGAGTAACCAACTTTCCTCCAGAACAAGATTATAAAAAGTAAGATGGTTAGCTTAATTTTGGATAACATAAATGCATGTGTTTATTGCACTATTAGAACAATTTTGTTTCTTTTTCTCTTAAAGTAATGTTATTATCATATCTGGGACAAGAAAAAAGTATTTCGGATGGAGGACAGAGAATGTGGACAGGGTAAGTAGTTTAGATTAGATTGCTGGAATAAAGATAACACCCAGTTCAATCCCATTAATGGGGTCTGGGAGGGGGTAGGTTGGGAACAGAACCTATCATTTGGCATTGAGTATTGTTGGTATCCCTTCTTCTCCATGTGTACTTAGATATCAAGAAATAATTTAGTGAAATAACCCAAAAGACCCCCATGGTAGATTTTTAATAAGCTGTTCACCTTATATTGTTTCCTGCACTAAAATTACCTGTAAACTCTAGGTGCATCTTCTGAGAACTATGCTTCAGTGGGAGGAGCAGCTGCGGTCTGAAACAGGTCTTCGGCAACCAAATCATAATGTGAAACGTTTTAGGAACCTCAACTCTCTTTCTCTTGGGGAAGTGGTAATTGTATGTTGGCCCCATGGCGAAATAATGAGGTTGAGAACTGGCAGCACTGCTGCAGATGCAGCTAGAAGAGTTGGACTTGAGGGAAAGCTGGTCTCAATAAATGGTCAACTTGTATTGCCTAACACGGAGCTCAAAGATGGCGATGTAGTTGAAGTTAGGGTGTAAACATAAAAATACACTGTACACTTGGTTAGAGTAGGTAGGAACTTGTACAATATACGGATGAACGGGAAAGAAAAAAAAAAATCATTGTCATCTCAGTATGGAAATACACTAGATATTATCCAGTCTATCTCCGGCACCCCTGCATAAGTGGGGCTGCACCAGGTAATAGCCTTTGGTTCGATCAAATGATGCAAGGCCAGCATTCATTTATTTATTCCTAGATGGCATTTGTATTGCTACTTCTGTGTAAATATTGTCAGTTTTACAATGGAATGAAAGCAAGTTATTGCTCAAAAACAAGTGTTTCAGTTCTGCCTAACATTTTCTTCTCCCGTATCCTTTTTTATACGCGGGGTCATGTGCATTGTGTATGATTTTTTCTCATTGCCGACTTCAATATATACAAGTATGGAAATGAAGTTTGACCTGTGTTTTGTAATTAGTATTAATAAGAGTACATCTTTTAATGTTAGAGACCGTTCAGGATTGATGAATGACCTCTGATGGGGCTTGATTAACAGTATCATCCAAGTTGAAGATTATGAT